ACCTAAGTGAGATAATTTCTCCAGAGTTATCTGTTTGAAATTATGAAAATTGTTTTCAGATGAATTAATTGGAATGAATTCTGATTTTTCATGGTTGATTGATAGACCAATGGATAGCCCTGCATCCTTGATTATCATTACAGCTTTATTATAATTTGAAAAAAATTATTCACCAATATTTATATATAAAAGGATTGCAGTTGTCGCGCTTTCCCGCTTTTTATCCTTTAGTCATTAAAAATCCCACCTCACTCTTAGAATATGGGAGGTATGGCCGGGCCTAAAAATTTTTGCAATTTACAAAATGAGAAAATTGAATAAGACACCTATTTAATATAATTAAAATATAGCCACTTTTTATAATTATTTTTTATTATCCTTCATTTATATACTCTTCTCAAAATTTAGAAAATGTTTTAAACATTCCCCCCCTCCCCACCCTTGTCGTGGTAAAATATGTAAAAGTAAATAAATAAACACTTAACCCATTTTGCCCTGATTTCCCGATATTGGAATATCTTTATTTTCTTGATTTGGAACATTTTCTATTTATTTTCAAAAAATCCTGATTTTTTTAATTCCATTTTATTAGAAAACATGAGTAAAAGTGCTTACAAATTGAGTAGAAGCGTTTAGCGATGTTTTCACAAAAACGCTATGATTTAAATTGAAGGTTAATGATGCTTGGTACCTTAAGGTACCATCTATCAAATTTGAATTTTTCATTTGGATAGGCACTACCAAATATATTTATAATATATATTTGAAAAATCGTCATTTTTGGAAAGCCTCTATGGCCTAGTAGGCAAGAGCTTGGTTTACTTATCCCATGCTCCCGGGTTCGAATCCCAGGAATGATAATTTTTTTTTCTTATTCTAACTTGGTGGTTCCATCCTTGGGGGGATAATATATAGGAGGCCGGACTCGACCACTTGATTCCGTATTAATATATTAAATAATAAGGATCTTATTACATTTTAATAAATTTTGTTCGGTATTTAGCAAATTAGGTTGGTATTTAGAATATTTCCATACATTCACTTGGTAGTAAGCATCATTAACCTAAATTGAACTGGTATTATTTTAAAAAATGATGAAAACTATTTTACGTTTTTTAATTTTTTTTATATTGTTTAGTTTGACTTGTGAAATTAGCAAAAATAATAAACTAAAATAATTGAAGATCTAATGATTTATTTCCATAATGTATTCAACATAAATATTACAAATTTATGTAATCTAGAATATTTTGAATTTTTTTTTTGATTAATCACAACTTTGCAGTTATTTCTATTTATTAAAATGCGAATAGAAGAAAAAGGAAAGGTCATAATATTCAAATGAATTAGTTATAGTGATGTTAAGGTAACTAGTTACTTGTAACTAGATACCTGTAGCTAGTTACATTTTGGCTAAAAAATAACTGTAACTAGTTATATTTTTAAAATTGTAACTAGTTAAAATTTTTGATATGTAACTGCCAAAAGTAACTAGTTACTTTTAAAGATATATTCAAATAATTAATTTTATTTTTAATATGTTGTGAAAAATTAATTTTAAATTAAATTAATTTTTTAAATTAAATTTATTAATTTAAAATTTTGTGAAAATGTCTGATTGTTCCCAACAATAACACAAATACTTATATGTATGGCAGATGTGCAGGGATTAAAATATTGTCAACCTCTAAAGGATACTATATTAGCTAGTATTGAAAAAAGGTAACTTAAATCAAATAATTATTTATAAATTAATAATATCATGTTATAGGTTTAATAATCTTTATGATAATGACAACATCATTGCTGCAATTCTTCACCCTTTATTTAAAACTGACTGGCCTTGGATTAGGCAAGAAAGAAATAAAGCAAAAAAGGAGGAAATTGTAAATTTAATAAATACCTTAATACCTCAAAGTGAATCCCAGACGAATGAATCATGCTCAAAACCAACATCACTTGATGTAGTTGGATTTTTTGACCTAAAGCGCCAAAATATTCTGGATAATGAACTAATAGAAAACTTTATCAAATCTAATAACAACACTTTTTCTTTATATAACGATTTTCCAAAGTTAAAATTACTCTTTATTAAATATGTTGTTCTAACATCAAGTGCTCCCGTAGAGCGCTTATTCAGTCTAGGTAAGCTCATTTTTGGAGATAAACGAGCACGTCTCCTAGATAATAACTTTGAAATTAATTTGTTGTTAAAAGCAAATAAACATTTATTAGATTCTAATTTTTATGAAAAATAAATGTTTTTTTTTCAATACAAATATATATTTTTATATTCGATGTAAATATTCAATTTTGCGATATTTTTTTATATAAATAAATTGTATATTATTTTAAATAACTGATTATACTTTGTTTATCCTAATTTTTTTTATATTAAATAAATGCATTCAATAAATAAATAATGCGCATATGAAGGATGTATAAAGTAAGTAACTAGTTACTTTTGTAAAAATGTAACTAGTTATGTTTTTGCCAATGTAAATAGTAACTGTAACTAGTTATGTTTTAAAAGTAACTTTTAACATCACTAATTAGTTACTATTATATCAAAGTTATATCGATGTGCATTATCTCAAAATTGTAATTAGGAGGCATTAATTATCAGTAAAATCTTCTATAATTAAAATAATCTGAGAAAATCAATAAAAAATTCTTAGCTTTCAGTATATTTTTTTTTATCTAGATTAGAAATAAAGTATTACTTTAAATGACATAAAGCACACTTTTAAATTTTATATTGGGGAAGGGGGGAGGGTTAACTTATTCTGCTAAAAACTTAAACCAAAATGTCCGCTCCATACTTACAACCATGAGTGAGTGAGACTAATATATTTTCTATCACATCAGATAGAGGTTACATGCTTATTAAATAAACAATATGTAATAAAATATTCTTAAAACATTCGCGTTTATGATTTAAGAAACTTCGGTTGGTAAATTGATATTGAATATATCAATTTCACTTAAAATGAATTCACAATTTTCGCGGTCATGCGCTCGCTATATAATTTCGCGCGGTAGAAAATTCGCTATAAATGGTTCGCGATTAAAGTTTCGCTATAACGAGTTCGTGATCAAAGTTTCGCTAAAATGAATTTCGCTAAAATGTATTCGCGGTTAAGGTTTCGCGGAAATAAATTCGCTATAACGAGTTCGCGATCAAAGTTTCGCTAAAATGTATTCGCGGAAATAAATTCGCGATATTGTCTTCGCTATAAATGTTTCGCGGAATTGGTTTCGCTATATTACCTTCTATAAAATTCCTTCGCGATAAACGACATTCGCGATAAAAGTTTGGCAAAAAAGTGTTTCGCGATAAAAGTTTCGCTGAATTGACCTGATACGATAAATATATAACAAAACTACAACAGTCCTTATCACAGATAAAATCGAATCATCATTTTATTTTGATAAAACAAGAGAAAACATCCTTTTGATATTTTTTAATATTTTTAAACCTAAGCCCGGCCCGATTTTAAAAATATGTAGGCCTGAGTATGGCTTGTCGATTTGCAGCGTTCCGACATAGAATAAATATGAATGAGACTCAAAATAAAAGATATATGTAATATGGCGTCTAGTTTCTATAAATAAAATAAAATATTTTTATTTTACATAAAAAATTCAACATAAAACAGATAAATTTTATTCCTAGACCCGACTCGATCCGGCCCGAATTTTTCTTAAAAAATAGGCCCGGCCCGAGCCTACTTTTGCAGATCTCTATGGGCGAGTGCAAAAAAATCCACGAACTCCGACGCTAATGAAAGTGAAAAATCCTGGACCGGGAGTTGGGCTTGAAATGGTGACCTCTACGAGCCTGCTAATGATATAATATCCGATAAATTTTCCATAAAAAGGATTTAATTACTGAACTCGAAATTTTTCCAAAAATAGATTAGGATGGGATTACAAAGAGTTTGAAATCGGGTTCTAAATATTCCTTTGAACCTAGCTTACAGTTACAGGGTTGGGCTGAAGCTAAGAAGCTGAATATTTACAAAGCTGTTCTATTCGAGGAATACCTGCGTAAAATTGATTAAAATATAGGTCCTTTTATATCTCCGGGTATACCTTTTTCATATTTTGTGTTTATAAATTTATATATTGTGGCGAAAAACAAATATTTCTTTTAATTTATCATCCGTAATAAACATTGAAAATTTTGTGTATTTATTATTTATATTGAACGGAAGTTTCGGATCGGCTGGATTTTATAACAATTCTGATAGCTCTTTATCACGGGGTAGGGTAGAAGTAATAATTTTATTTAAATCGTGGGAGAATTGCCCCCCCCCCCTCCATTATTTTTTTTAAAAATCAATTCATTGAATATAAAATTATTCTTCGTTGTTATTTTTTATTTGATTCAATGCTAAAGAATAATAAAATCATAAAACTTATATTTCAATGAGCAGGTGTTTTCTAAGAATATATTATCAGATAAATAGATTAAACACCTTAAGTGTGCAAAGCAAAAATCTTTATTAAAATTAGCATTTTTAAAAATTTGTGAAATAAATAAATATTATAAATTCATGTTGTTGTTGTTATATGACGTGCCTCATAAATTAAATGATTTTAGTAGACCGGTTAAAATGTATATGCTTGGGATGAAGTTATAATGGGGATTAGCTGCACGCGTTAAGCTTAGAGAGTACTCTCATATAGGAGTCTTAACTCATAACATTAATGGTTAGAGCGTCCTATAAAATCTTGACGGGTACAAACATTTTTTAGAAGTATTAAGTCAAAATATAACGATAACTGACGGTTATCCTGTTGGGTTCAAGTTTAGTTTCCTATTAAAAATTGCTAAACATTTTCAGTTTCAATAATACAATAATTCGATAATAATACTGTTTCGCTTAAAATATTATCTTAGAACAACACGGTAGGTAATATGTTTATGAATTATAACTAAAATAAGATAAGGCATTTTGACATAGACAACAAAAATCTACGTTCTGAAATTTTTTAAATATAATTTGTTTATTTGCATTAATTTCTGTGAAATATATTTATTAAATACTGAAAATAAAAAATATTTTTTTTACATAATTATTATTTTTTGGTGATTTTTTCTATCTCTTCTTTTGTTCTTCTATATATATCTGTAATAAAAAAAATGTTTAAAATGAATTAAGATTTATTCGAACAATTTTTATATCTGATTAAGATTACAGTGGACGCAGATTGGGAGAAGGAAGGAGGGAAGGGGGGGGGGAGTGTTTTCCAAAATTTTGCTTTATTTTCTTTCAAATTGATATCCCCCTTTTCTATAATATCACAAAAATACTACTTACATTTAAAAAGGTCGTAAAAAAATCCTAAAAATCTAAGAATAAAATGGCATATTTATTATTTCAATCGTTCACATAAAAATTGTTATAAATAATACAAATTATGGCTGTGCCAATTCATATATTTTTCACCGATCCGCAGAAATTGGTTCAAAACCGATCTGATACCGATCCGATCCTGATTTTTCACCACCCCCCGAACCAAATGTAATTAATAATCAATATTTTTTATGCAAAAAATCGAATTATGCATTTAATTTAATTTTTTTATTTCTACAATTAAGATTATAATTTAAAAAAAATTATATTATATAGATAAAAAAACATATTTAATAATATATCTATTTTATGTTGTATGAATTATAAAATTGTAATATTTAATATATATAATTATAATATATTAGATTTAAATAAAAGAGCCTCTAGATTTTCTGGCAATAAGATTCTACGATGTGGACTATCTATATCCACTGCCGTACTGAAGGCAGACATAGAAGGGACAGTTGTTGCAGGAGGCGCTAAAATTTTACATGCAAGTTTTGACATAATTGGAATCAATATCAATGTTATTCGAGTTATCTATATAGATAACACAAATATAAAATTAGCATTGATAAAATAGTGGGTTTCATAGAAACCCAATCTTTTGTTGATTTTGAAAAATAATCAGTTGCAAAATTATCTTTGTCCTTTGTAAAATATTTCCATAATTCTAATACCATATTTAAAAAAATGCTTTTAAAGTATAAATAATAAAATTGACATTGATTTAAAATAAATAAAACTTTGGGTGTTCCTTTCTATTTTTCAGAGTTGTTAAAAGATACTTTTTAAATGGATCTAGATACATAGTCTAAAAATTTATCTAGATACAAATACAGCTTCTAAAAAGTTATCTTGATACAGATACAATTTAAAATGTATATAGGTACAGATACATTTTTTATTATACTCTTAGATAAGGTTTGAATAAACCTAAATTAGGATTTTATTGTGAAAATTCATGAAATGATATAAAAAATTTATTGACTTGATATCACATTTATCAAAATATAACTAAAATAATGATTTTTAGATATTACTATAATATATGATTAATATAAATAATTATTATATATCATTATAAAATAATATAATATATGATTAAATGATTATAAATAATTATTAGATTTCAGTAATAAAATATTTTCAAAATTTTGGTTTAAGACATCCTCGTTTATCTGTAAAGACATTTTTAGCTATATTAAAAAGTCTTTCAACAGGGGCGCTGGAAGGGATTGTGGTATTATATTTAATGAATAACATTTTTATATCAGGATATTGTTTAAAAATACTAAAATCTCGGCATTCATTTTGAAAAAACTATTTAAAATTTGTTGATTATCAGAATTTAAATCATATCTCCTGCTGTGGGATACTGAAAAAAATCGGATAATTATTGGTTTTTTTCACAGGTTAATTTGCCCTCATTTGAAGACTTTGATAATCTCAACTAATCTTTGTATTGTTTTTTTAATTAAAATTTTCATCCATTTGCAACCATGTCCAATCTAGTTTAAAAAAAAAGGATGAAGCATAGTTGCCAAAATATTTTCATCTTCAAAAATTGTCCCAATAAACCTAGAATTATTAAATACTAATTAATTTATTATTAATTTACCTATCTTCAATTCCTTTAAGTAAGGCATTTAAGAGTGGTAAACAAAATTTCAGATTCATTTGTTTAAAATTTTTCAATTTAATAATGAGCTGGGAAATATGTTTACCGATGATAGGCACTCCAACAATCTGCTGTTGTGCATATTAACGATGGTTCTATTAGACTTTTAATGATTTCTTTCTTTTCATTCTCCCATCTTTGGGAAATTCTAGCAGCCACTGTCTGTCTGCAAATTATATTTTTTTGTGGAGCTAATGTTTTGATCATTTTTATAAATGATGGATTTGCAACAATTGGAAATAGCTGAATGCTATCTATAATAAATCAGATATTTAATCATCTAAAATGGTTTGGGTTAAAGTCTGAGGTCTCTTGAAAAAAAATCAATGGACGATAATCATAGTCCAATATTTTCTTAATAGATTTTTTCTCCTTCTCCTTTTTTATTTGGATTAAGAGTGTTTGATGTTTTCTCTTAAAATTTAAAATTGTAAACATTTATTTAGTATCTATACCCTTAAATGTTTTACAATGTTGCAAGTTGAGGTAATGCTAACTGAAATTTTCATGTTTTTTGGACATGGCAAACATTTTACTAACAGAGATTTGTTTTCTTTATTTTGAGATATTATTTTAAAATATGGTCTATAAATTGGCCATGAAATGTCGTCATTTTTGTCATCAATTTTAATCTTAAAAATTAATATAATAGAATAAAATACCAATTCCATTGCAATTAAAAATGGCAAATTCCTTGAGATGGATTGTAATATCAGAATTTACTTGTTATTGATAACTGGTACATAATATTTAATTAATATTTTTATATTCTTTTTTATATATAAGTCTTAATATTTTACATATATATATATAAATTTTTAATATATATTAATATTAATTTATATGCTCATATGAAATAAAATAAATTTTACACCAAGTATTTTTATTTATAATATAAAAAAGCGTTAAATAAAAGTATATCAAAATGTATCTTTTAAAAAATATCTAAAAACAGATACAGATACCTCTAAAATAATATCTAGATACAGATACTTTAATCAAAAATCTATCTAGATACAGATACCACATTTTTATATCTAGATACTTTAACAACTCTGCTATTTTTTATAAAAAAACTTTTAAATCCTATAAATCTATTTAAAAAAATAAATAAAATTTAGGGGGTGTTGTGCATTTGCATTGTTTAAGGAAAAATTATTTAGAAAATATTATAATGTAAAATAAATATACATACAAAAAAAGAATCGGATTTTTACAGGTATCGGCCAGATTGGATATTTTTGGAAAACGCTAAATATCGGTGCCGATCCGATCCGATATTTAATATCGGCACAATTATACCAAAAATATTATAAATCGGGGAAAGGCGAAAATTATTTATTTGATGTTTGAATCGCAATTTAAAATCCGAATCAGCCTAAGACGTGTTGTGGTAGTTTTATTATGCTTATAACTAGCTTCTGTTTATTAACTAAACTAATTTATGAATTAGGAAGTACTAATCAGGGATTAATTGCGCACCCAGACATTCAGTGTCTATATCATTTCCGTTTTAGCATGATACCAATCTTGGCAATTTTTTATAATTTTTTTAATAATGCGTTTTTCGTTGGTTGAAACACTACTTATAAATACACATTAATTATAGATAAAAGCTTCAGATTTTATGCTTCCAGAAGTTTGGCACACATAACTTTCATAGTATGATATCATAATTGGCTTATAAATCGATTACTTTTTGAGGGTGACAAAATTGATTGAAGAATTAACATGGCACTATATTAACGCAAATATATAGACTATTCTCTGTCCTAGCATGATGCCAATTCTTTCCAATAATTTTCTTTTTAACCCACATACCAAATAGACTAAAGCAATAAGATGTACAAATTAAGCATAACGATGGCTTGGTATAAGTTTCAGAATCAGTGTTTCTAAAAACTTAACTCACTTCACGCTTAAAGCGTGATGTCATCGTTTTATTTTGTTTCTAACTCAGTTTCATTCAGTAAATATAAACGAAAGCCCGATATAGTTTTCATTTTCACTTCTAGCATGCTAATTTTTTACTTATTTTTCTAATAATCTTTTTTTCTTTATACTGTCTATCAACCAGATTATAATAATATACAGTCAATCCTCTTCTTCATCATCATTTTAATTCTAAGACTAGTGGAGGTTAAAACGAGTCTGATTCTTCCCTCGGCTTTGGGCCATAACAACAATTTTTTTTGTTCAACCTTGCGGATTTGAGAAATTCAAGTTAGTCTTGGCCTTCGCGTCACCTCGAGGTCAAGAACTTACCATCTTTCCAACAAAAGAGCTAGGCCCATCTTCTTTCCTAGGGTTTCATTGGTCATACGATCCAGCTTGGCCTACCCTAGGTTCCATCAGATCATTCGAATTTCGCATCCAACATCATCTTCTCTATAAATAATTTCAGCCGCTTTTTAATTTATAATCTAAAGGTTGGTCAAAATTTTGTTAATAATAATTTTTCCATATATATTATACTGGTTAAAGACCTCATAAGCACAAATAAAATACTAATGGCATACATTTTAGAATTAATGCTTCCAATTGTTCAGTCTTTATGATATAAAAAAGATATAAATGCAAAATAAAAATAACCACGAGAAAATGCCTAATCAGAGCCCTCCCCCCATCTTGAATAACTGTTGGATATGTCCAACTAGATTTTACAAAATTCCTGAAGATGCAAAATTGATGCATTATTAAGTAAATATTGGGTAATTTATATGGTCAATTTAGCATTAAATTACTTCGGTAATGGTGATCCAAAATATGCTAGGAGAATGTATTTTGAGCCTGACTAGTTCAACTTTGAAATCTTGGGTATAATTGGAAGCGTTATTCACGTTAGATTTAAACGTTTTGGCCAATAACTCGGGAACCGATATATCGATCGAGCCCATAGAATCGATAATTCCTATAACCAAAAACCCTTCTTGCAAGGACTCATTGATACTACTCGTAAATTCCTTTGAATCTTCAAATATGAGGTTAGATTGATAGTTTTGGTTATATGGTTTTTTGTATTGAGAGACCAATAATTTATGAAGGGAATTCATATCGATGTTTCGAGACAATAAATAAGAGGGAGAACTAGGTGTTAAATCTTTATTATTAAAGGATGCTAATTTAATTTCCAGGGTTGTATTGTATAATCGGTCCATCGTGTGCACTTCATGACCGGATTTGATGAATATTCTTTGTTTTGTTTTCGTAAAATATATGATGTAAATTTTAAAATGGCGTTTGACATAATGTACTTAGAATCATTAACTGAAATATCCCCTAACATTACTAGATAGAAGGTATGCCGCAATAAGGAATACCAGTGTTTTTGATGAAGCAAAAAAATCAAAATTTTTATTCAATTTTTTAGGTAGCTATCAATCAATAAGTTCGACGATAATATCTTTAAAATAGTGGCCAAAAAACAATTAATTTCCAATTTTACATAATGTTTTTAAAAACCTTTTAATTAATACTGGTTTTTCCATTTGTATGAGAATGGTGTCTCCTTTCTTAGGTTCCTCGGACCAAAAATAAGATTTTCTGAGGTATGTATTCTCTATGATGTACTTTTGATACGTTTTAAGGGTGGAATTAATATAAGCTTTCGGGTTAGTGTGGGGAGAATAAAATACCTTATCTTCAAAGTTTTGTACCTTCGAATAAGTTAATGTTATATAAAGTAAATATAATATTTATTGAATAATATGTATAAGATAGAATATAATATGACATTTATGTTAAACTTGAAAAATTTGGGATAAAAATAAATATTTATAGCTTGATGCAATGAATTAAATACGTAATAGAATAAAACTATAATAAGGTATAACGTTACCTTTAAATTTTGAGTTTTTCCTTCTAGGGATGATTTTTGACCAACGTGTTGAAATAATGAAGAGTAATGAGATACACGATTTAATATAATTTGATAACATTCGGTCTATGGAAAGAAAATTTAAACATAAAGAAAATATTAACCAAAAGAATTGTACAAATTCAATATTTTGTGCTTAGTACGTAGTGCTACTATTTTACAAATCGAATATTTCATTCGTGTTCAATTCCTCCATATATAATGTTAATTTAAACCAATAATATTCGAATGTTTTACATATTCTTAAATGATATACAATATGTAGAATGAGCATATTTAAAAGTTTTGACATTTTTAAATATAATTTGATCAAAAATCTGTTCTTCAAAAAATCAAAAAATTTTTAAATATATTTTTTCAAACTCTAGTTACTATATAAACTGATATTGTAAGAACAATAACGCTTTCTTATCTTCCCCTAGAAACCTAAAATTTGGAAAGGCACTAGAATATAAATAAAGATTTTTATTTACAAATGCGTTAAAGACAGTTATTTCAAATAAGGGCCAAAAATACCGATGGAGTCTAAGGGATGCCTTTGCTATGCATATGTCCAACATCATCTTTATTTTCTATCAAAATATTATAATGTACAATTAACAAATAGTGAGAGAATAAGTTACATTTGGAAAAAAATACAAAGCGGATATAAAAAAAACACATATAATATAAAGGCTATGAATAATCCAAGTCAGTGAGACATAGCAATATGAAAAAGGTTTTTCGTTCATTAGGGGTCTTTTATCTGCCAACAAACTATAACAAAAAGAATAATCTCTTTGATTAGACACAAAATAGCACTAGCAATAGTGAGGTGGGAGAGAAGAGTCTCAAGTTACATCTGAAATTTTATTGACGATTTATTTCCACTATTAATATGTATAGGATTTTTTGTAGTTTAACCTTTTATTATATTATACAAGTATAACAATCTTATTTTATTGAAATATTTTTACAGTTAATTACCCTTTTGTTATAATGAATAATCCCTTTTTTAATACAAGTTTATGCAAAAAGTTATAAATAATCAAAATAGTTGGGTAATAGGTATAAAAAATATGTTAATCAACAAGCTCGCGCTAAAGAAAATCTGCTAAGAATTGGGACGCGGATATATTTATTTACGCTTTCTTTAAAGTTGAGCTATATTAAAGAAAAAGCCTAAGTCCAAAGTGGTAGTTTTCGACTAAAAAAAATAGGTTTAGCCGTTAATTAGGCGGCTAAAAAATCTTCTTACATATTTAAATATAATATGATTTAGATTGTTATAAAAAAAAATCAGAACGCATGATCCTGGATACGATTAAATATTATGTAACGAGAAGTGAAAGATTAATCGGCAAAATAATGACGTTGTTATAAAAATTAGGAACTGAAAATTTGACATGGGAAATTAGAACTAACACATAGTAACCAGAATGGAAAATATAAAACAAATTACACTTATAAAGACATATTACATTAAATAAAAATTTGAGAAAATTTTAAGGAAGACGACGGTGACTACTGTCGACGAGATAATCATATAAGAGCGAAGCATTTTATACATTATACTGAATTCAAAATAAAAGAAAATAAATTATTTTAAAAAATTGCAGAATTAATTACTCCATCCTTAGGGAAATTACATGACAAAGAAAAAATAACACTAAAAGATAGGGATAGAGAATGAATTTTTTAAAACCATGTAAAATTCGACAAACCCTCATAGGAATTTCCAACATAACAGCTCTAACAATTTAGAGATTTAAAAAAAGGATGAGATTATTAGGATCAAAATTGGGCAATTGCGAAATATATTTTGCAAAGTAATTGTATTAGGCTAGGCTATTTGCTTAACGCATATATTTTGATGCATTTTGAAAAGAAGCTTTGAGAATTGTATATTATTTAGTTTTTTTCGTCACATTTTTTTATTTAATAATTTTAATAAATTGATGATAGAAATTATAGTTTGTTTTTTTCAACGGCCTTATTTTATTTTATAAAATTACAACATAGACGTTGAAAAAATCACTTCTAATCTAGAAGAATTATATTAATTAAGATAACATTACGTATACAAATATAAAATATGAATATAGCTACTCTACGGAAACAAATAAGAATAAAAATCATCATGAAAAGGAAAAAGATTAAATTTATATATGCCATATTAATATAAATATCGTCTAGAAATGACAAAGTGAATGTGGGATGTCTTTTATGCAAGTCCAAGAAATATTAACAGGGGAATTTTCATAACACAAAAAATTAAAGGACCCACATTGCAAATTGATATCAATAATTGGATTATTTATAATATATATCCTTTCAGATTTGGTTTAAATTCAAGTACTTTATAAATATTCGAGGAAATATTTCTAAAATAAAATATATTACCTTCTTGTGCAGCAGTTGAGAACTATTTTAATTAGAGGGATTGATAAATACAATTCATAGACAGTGTTTGCATAAAATTTTTTTTGTAAAATTGGTCATTATTGAACATTTATAAATTTTTAATTCTTTTTAGTTTTTTATATGATTATTATTGATATACTATTGGATCAAAGAAATTATTTTATCTAACATCTACAACACTCCAGTCTATCTTAAATAATTAATTTTTTATTAAAATATATTTTAGATAATTTTTGTAGCATTGAGAAACTTAACGCAATATATTTTACGAACGATTTTTAAATTTAGTTTAAGTAAATTTTTTGCAATTAAATTTTTGAGGGTCGGGCCAGTCAATAATATCAACAAAATAGAGGCGCGGCCCTTGACCCGAAAAATATAAATAGTAATTTCCTTCTTATTCTTCCTTTTTTGACTGATTATCACAATTATGAAATGTAAGAAATAAGAAAAGTTTTTTAAAAAATCAGGTGAGAAATATTTACTAATCATTTTCAGAGAATAAAATATTTCAATTTTTTTCCTATAAAGGATTTTTTAAAAATTAGACCGCGGGCAACAATGGACCAGGTATAGATCTAAAAGCCTACAATAATGAAGCACCTATCCAGAATACAAAGGAAGTAAATAATTTTTAGGCTGTTTTTTGACACAAATTTATACCTAAGAACTATCTATATAATACAAGTACAAAGAATGGAAATAGGAGTAGACTATTGAATTAAATCTAATCATATGAAAACATGTAAATTTTAACATTAAAAAAAATAGAGATCTGCAAAAGTAGGCCCGGACCGTACGTACTTAGGGCCTATTTTTTTTAAAATAAATCGGGTTCGGACTGGGCCGGGCCTAATATTTTTAAAAAATTCTGGCCGGGTTGGGCTTTGGAAATTTTTTTAATATGTCTAAATTTATCATTATGTTGAACTTTTAATGTAAAATAAAAATATTTGATTTAATTTATAGAAACTAGACGCCATAATATCATTTACTTTGAGTAATTATAAATTAATTTCTATATTTAAATAAATTGGGCCGGGCCGGCAAAACTTTTTAATATATATTAAGGGTTCGGGCAGGGCCAAGCTTGAAAAATTAGACCCGATGCAGATCACTAAAAAAAACTTAATATTCGAATATTTATTATTAAATTTTTGTAAATATAATCAAATTATTCGATTCGAATAATAATAATAAAAAGTATTCGCCAACACATCGTATACTAAATTTAAAATATCCGAATCTAATTCGAATTTTATAAGAGCACTACCTTCATACCAACCGGTTATGTCATAATTTACTAACTGCACATTTTCAATCTAAAAAGTTTGTAAAATGTTATTTAATTGGAACAATTGATATAATTTTTATTTCTACAACATTCCTAAATTAACTATGGATGGCATCATGTTATGAGTTTAAATCCAAATGAGATATTAAATGACTAACCTTGGAATTATCTGGCGTGCAATATTTGCTAGCAAAATAACTATCGAGTAACCAATCGACAGGTTTATCCAGATAGAAAAGACCCATGTAGGAAGCTATTAAGGGGGTTTCGTTGTTACGGTATAATTTCCCTATTTGCCATTTAAAAAAAGACAATCTTTTATAAGCGATCAATAATCAAAATAAATTAGCATCAATTGAGTGACATGAATAGTAGATTTGACTAGGTGTCATAGAAATCTTATTTTTTGATCATATTAATAAAATAATTTTTAGATAAGACCACAATGGCCAATATAGTGAGTAGTTAGATGTATTTAGAGGTTTCTAGAATTATAAATATGACGTAGTTTGAGGTATTGTTGGTAAGTATACCATTTACTCGTTCATAGTCAATTTTTCCCTTCTTGGCTAAAATTTAAATAAGAATAAATTTATATTAAAACATATTCACCACTTGTATTTGGTTTAATTATTTTGCGCTGGAATTTATAAATCAAAAAATATATTACTCTAATAACATTCTCCAATATAAATTTGTCATACGAATTCATACGAATACCATTTGAACAAATAATATTCAAATAATTTAAATTTTTTTAATCCTATTCATTGAATTAATATTTATGAGGGGTTTTTTTCCAATTTTGGTTAAAAGGTTTTTTTTATCCGCTGTCAACGCCGAGTTTTTTGAAATCTTTGTCCGATCTTTTTTTAAATAAATTCGGCGCAACAGTTTCTTAAAAATGTTTCTTCTTGAATCAAGATCTTTTTCTTAAATTATAACCTGATTATATCCGATTTTTTCGCGAATATCACCTGCAACATATTTTTATGCGTGTATAAGGTTTAGTGGTATTACTGATGGCACTCCTAGTTCGATTATTTTTTGAAACATTCCACCATATTTAATCTAAATTCTTTCACTGTAAACTTAGCCTTGTGCTAAATTCAATAAAGTGATTTATATTGTCCCCAATGATGAACACAACTCATAGTAGCTTTGTAATCCTTAAATAGCAGTTAGACAGAAACTCTTTTCCGAAATAGATTGTCAAATCGAACACATCTTAAAAATTATTAGTTAATAATTTTGATAGTTCCATTTTCTAATATCCAAACCTAAGAATTAAAAAAATAATAAAATTGTTAGAGGCAAAATATTAGTTATATCTTCTTTGAACTGGCAGATTTTTGTGAGTTCTATTTATAGTTCTGCTTAAATCAAAGCCCATATGTTTTGAAATCTAACATTAAATCAACACTGGAAAATTATCAATATCAAAATACATCCTTATTAACTTTCCCGTTGATAATTCAACCACGGATTCTACAATTGATCTGAGTATAATGTTCAAGCTCCTGGGAGTAGGATAGATCATCAATATTCCAGCTTAGAAATGGCCAGATCGGTTTTTAATTCTAAATATATTGTTTAGAGGAGTGCCGTCCTAAAACAAAATGTTGTAAATAATTTCGAAATTTGTTTACATTTGAATAGAACCATGATTTCCTCAACAGATAAATTTTTACTTGGTTAATATAGTAAGATAAATTAATTTTTTAAATAGTTACGGGTTTAATTTAATTTTAAATAATTTATATTCGGGTGTTGTAGGCAATAATGTGTAATCCGAAATGCAATATTTTCATATATACCTAAAACGATTATATGACATCATGACCGATATTATAGTGTTATTCCTAAAAGGGGATATTTTTGTTTCAGAATATGATTTTGGTAAGGCTAAATGATAAAGATCCATAAATAGTTTCTATTTTACGGACGAGAATTTGACTAAAATGATAGGAGAATACACAGAAAATGGGAAATTGATATTGTAGGAAAAGGAGATCTCCAGATCAAAATCATGTGATAATTAATCCATATCCACTTTTATGAATAACACGTGCATATCATATCAACTATGACATTCTATAATCATTTTATGGAAATTATGAAAATATTTTATGTTCATATTACACAATATATAAAACCTGTACCCGAAGTTGAAAAAATATTCATGATTTAGTAAAGAATGACTATATGACTATATAGAACGAATTTTTATTGAAAACTTTTAGGAATACCGATTAATATTCTAAATTGTTATTCATAAAATTAAGAATAATATTCATTCATTCATTCTTTATTAAATAATCAATAATAAATATTTTCCGAACTCTGTCTGTAATCAGGGGTTTGAACCGAACCTGAAAAAAATTTCTGAACTCGAACCAAACCCTTTTTAAAAATTTCTAAAAACCAGAAGCGAATCCAGAAATTTTTTTGAACCCAATTCAATAGGGTTCAGTAAATTTATATTTAAAATCATATATTAAGATATTTGAATAATTGTAAATACAAGTAATAATAATTTAAATGAGATTATATTTTCAATTTATATAATATAAAGGGTATAAATCCTAAAATATTATAGATATTACTTAGTGATGATAAGATTTGTGCAAAAGGGCATCTTGTTAATTTGTAGAGTCAGATTAAAACCATATCTACGCACATTTTATAGATGATAATAGTTCGGATGAAATTATTGTATAAGATGATTTGAGAAATAGATACAACTTAAAGAAAGGCAGGAGAAAAAACTTTAAAAAAGCCAACGATTGCAGCGAAAAATATTGGAAAGATAATTACTAGATTTAACGATTTTAAAAGAGTGGTTAAGAAGGAAAATATTTTGCATTGCATTTTTGAGAGTCTGCTAAACTGCAGAATTTATATATTTTATCGAAAATTTTATTTTCTGTTCCTGCAACCCAAGTTGATTAATTAGATATTCATATAAATATATTTAATATAGGTTAGCGTTGAAAGATCTTTTTCACATTTGAAATTCATTCTTTCATTGGAAAATTGGGGATGAGCGAACAACTCTTGAAAGATATCATGCTAATACATGTAATACGTATAAATAAATAAAAAATCAATTTATACATGACTCTGGTTTGTAGTGTATTTTGTTTTTAACCCGTTAAATACCAAGGTATCAAAGACAATAAAATAAATTTTTTATTTTACTTTATTAATACCTATAAACATATTTATTTTATATATCAAAATTTCAAATTAAATGTTCCAAAAATCAAACATTGGGAGGTAACAAGCTCATTTTTTGGTGAAATAATTTTGACATTTTATACGAATAAGTTCTTGAAATTTATCACACTTATGTATTTATTTTGCCCCATTTGTAAAGATTTTGACGAGGCATATGACCTAATCGTTTTTCAGGTGAATTTCCAACAAAGATCGCGTATAAATCTTTTTATTCATTAGTTTTTGATCCAATGGACATTTTTCGGTTCGATTTATGAGGATTTTTCCTGTACAACGTATGCCTCTCCCATTCTACATAAATTTGCGGATGATGTAACAAGTGATAATATAATTTTTTATTATAGCATGAAATATATCGAACAACATTTCATATCAAAATATTACATTTCGTTTTTTTATTAACGTTATTAACCCCACTATATATAATGTCGTTAATATCATTATTAAATTCAAGTAAATCTTTGGGATACATGAAAAGCAATCGAATGATAATAATGTATCCCTAAGACATAAAATAAAGTATTAAATAATTTTAAATAAAAAAGTTTAATAGATAATACTACAATGTAAAATAAAAGAAATAACAAAAATCAATCGAAAAAGTAAAAGGTTACTTTACGGTAAAAAATAAATTTAAACGGGATATATTAACAGCGGAATAAAAAGTGCATGTTCTTAAACATTAAAAATAACAGATGTCAATTTTGCCACCACTCTCTCACGAAGAGGACTAGTTTCTAGTTATCCTTTCCAGTAAAAATAACAAAAAGGATATCCATAAGATGAAGATAAAACCCAAGTTTTTACGCCAAATTACTGACTTTCCACGCATGAATATCTTTAGTTTCGCTTCCATAATAGGGGATCAATTTGTTCATCCAAACCTAAGTTCTCTTTAAAGATCCCAAATTTTTGTAGATTTTGACCAATAATATCTAAAATGGTCTGACCTTCACTAATTTATCAGTTTTATCGATATTGAAATTGCTGGCCAGATGTAAATATCGTTTCATTTCTTTAAAGCGATTTCTAGACATTTTTTTGAGATAAAATAACCTACATCTTTATCTTGAGACCAATATAAGTTTTCTTAAGGAAGAATATAATATCCTATCCACTATATAGAATAATACCTATAAAAATGTCCAAATCTTGAATGTTAAAGAAATGATTTAATTTTTGATTAGTATATAATTTAGTTTGATTTATTATAAGTGAATACAAGACTTCATCAAAAAACATGCGAAATAATTTTAGAGGAGATTTTACATTTATATCAGGGATAGAATTTTCCAAATGAATGTTCATTTGAAATCATATTATAATGCTTTTCACTATTTTTTTTCCCATTTTATATCTGAAATTTTTATTCTCTCAGATAGTTGTATATTATATATCATATTATGACTATTTATCTCAACTTGCCCCCCCCCCTCCAACATTATCCAATTCTTCTGACGATATATTTTGAATATTACCTTCTTCATTTGTGACGTCTCCTATATTTAGTGGTATCCAAAATTTCATGTTCATCATTAATTGAGTTTTCTAATATTGTTGTTTTTTTCATGCTGGCAATAAAAAATCTAAAAAATAATAACGAATTATAAATTGAAATTTAAATATCGTTATCACCAATTTTGGAAAATGGAACATAAAAATTTTTACCTTATATCTTCGGGAAATAGAAACTTTTATTTTAATAACTAAGGATATGAGTTACTAAAATATATATTATTTTTGAATTAAAATTTTATCTAATTATTTTATAGTTTTTTATGCTTGAAAAAAAAATCAAGAAATTTTAAAAGCTTATAAATTTTACAAAATAAGTTCAATTTTTGGAAAGAAAATGATATGGCGACACAGCCCACCCTTTTTAAGTTTATAAATTCTAAAATAAAAAAATTATTTAACGCTAAAGTATTTAATTTTTTTTATCTTAATTTTTTATAAAGTTCGAAAGTGACTGTAACTATTTAAAGAATAAATTTATCTGAAAATTTTATCTGTTGATGAGATTCAAATGTAAACAAATTTTAGTTTTCAAATTATGCAATACATTAATATCAGAATAAACCAGTAAAACATGGCTTTAAGATATGATCTTAGCCGATAAAAGTGGTTTGGGTACCCTTGTTATTTTGATGTATTATACGTAAAAACATAATATTGCATCTAAAAAGTAATTTTAATAAGTAAAAAATAATAAATGCATTTAAAAAAAAACATTGAAGAATCTGTGGTCATATTATTGACGCAAAAGGGAAATACCATAAGATATATTTGGATTCTTTTCCAGCGCAGACTTATGTTAGATTTTAAAAAAATCTGGGTTCCGATTCCTGCACGGGGAAATAACGGTCAGTTTGGCTTTTATTCATTATGTAAAAATATAATGGTTACGTTTTGGTTACGGTTCTTAAGAAAAAATATATAAAGGTTTGGTTCGGTTCAGCTAATTGTAAAGGTTTATAATGGCTCATTACGGTTAGAAATTTTTTTTTATTGAAGCAACACCATCGTCTAATTTATTTTTATTATAAGCATCTATGAATTATATATAAAAATAAATATATAAGATTCAAAATAACTCATTTTTAAATATATTATTTGAACGCATAAGTAATATATTTTCTAAATAAATGGATTCATATTTGTTCGTTGTGACGATAACACAAATTTTAGCCCCGAAAAGACCCTTTCTACAGAAACTTGTGTTGCGGGAACCGCCAGTACTATAAGAGCAAGTTTATATAATTCAGGATAATAAAATTTTTTCGATTCCTAAAATATAAAAACTGAACCGGTTTAACTCTTCTAAGGGTTTTTATTACTCCTTCAAAAAATAATTATATCGGTTCGGTCACGGACCCCTGTTCCTGCAGAATAAGGAAAGACAAGTAAAAAAAAAATTTTCTAGGAATAACAATAACAATAATATATATTATATTTAAAATTCTTAGCTTTGGATGTCACAATGGATGCATACTAAATTAATATTATTAATTAGAAATTTTCAAAATGTGTTAGATATACAATCTATTTTCCGCAAAGAGAAGGATGAGAAGATTATAAATTCTGTCTAACATTTATTAAAGATTACACAGCTATTTGAGTTGTGGAGAACATTGTAATAATTATATAAAAAAAAATTATAGGAATTCATCGCAGAGCTCATAAAATCTTTGACTTTTTCTTTCTGATTGATGAAACTCTTATATAGTTATGCTATCTCCATAACGAATCCAATTAAAAAATTTGATCATAAAAATTTTTTCAAAAAAAGATAAAATAGGTACATTATTTCCCAAATAACCACACAATGAAACAATCCAGATATAAAAAAGTGAAAAATTTTCTTTTCCAAAAATAACTAAACTAGGAGTATCATCTGCAAGGCCACTAAACTTTATGTGTTTGGGAGTCTAGATATGAGAACATAAAAAAATGTTGCAAATATTCGTTAAGATGGGAACCTAATCCGTTCAAAATTCTAGAAAAATATCTTGAAACTCAGGGGAAAAGTATCAAGAAAGTTTGCCATTATTGTAGTATAAAAAAATGAAATTCGGATATTCTAAAAATTCCCGATATGTAAAGTCACTAAATTTATTATTTCCAGAAAAAATTGTTTTTCCTATCAATAATAAAGAACTTTATTTGATTTAAATGGATAGTTGGATATTAAATATCTCTCCCTTAATTATATAATATTTTGTATTTTATTTTGGAAAACTTAAATAATTTTAAAAAATTTTTAGTCTTTAAGTGTTTATAGGTGATTAATAGGGATTCTTTTTAAATATAAAGATGCAGCAACAAACGGTTAAAAATAAAATTGTATCTGCATTAATAATAAGTTTAGTTTTCTAAACATTACGGTCATTTTTTTAAAAAATAAAATGGATTTTTTTTTCACCTATAGCACCCAGCGGACAAAAGTCTAACATCGCCCATTCTTTCGTAGCCGGATTGGTTATGACTTGATCGATTATGGTCAAGAAATTATATTTGGCTATCACATCGTCTTCGAGCTTCATCGTCCAATTAAAAAGGAAAAACATCAATAAATTTATAAAATATTTTATAATAAGGTTTGCTAGGATTTATATAAAATAATTCTCATAAAAACAAAAACAAATTCTGATTCTCATGACACATAATAAATATTCTTTTTTTTCAGAAATTAATTTTTCTTATTGGGCAGTAAATCCTAGATATCATACTCAATAGTTGTTAGAAACTTGTTTTTTTCTGCATATGACAGATAATATATTATTGGTATAATCTTTCCTTGCAATCGCTTATCATTAATTTTTTTTTAGCCAAATAAGTTGGCATATATTTTGATAAAATATCGCCGTGATTTTCTAAATTTACTTATAGAATAAATCTTAATAAACCTTTGAATAGAGCTAAACACTAAATGATATAATATATATAGAATAAATTCACTTCCTATTGATTGATTTTATATATAGGGATGAAAAACAATAAAACATAATCCAAATATAAAACCTGGGGAAATAACAAATAAAAAATCATTTTAACGAAATTTCGTACCTAAAAATTAAAATTATAAAAATAATTTTCTTATAAAAAACAAAATGAGCGAGATAAAATGATTGTGATAGGAAAAATTTCCAAAAAAATATTGGTAAATTAAAAATGTGCAATAGATTATATTTTCTGCAAGATAGTAATAGTAGTAGTAAAAAAACAGAAACGTTTGTTTTTTCCTGAAAAAAAAGGTTTTTTCATCCCTTATTATATGTAACAAATGTTTAAATAAGATAATCTCTCTCTATAAATTTATTGCAATAAATATTAGATATTTTAAAAATGTTAGGTAAAATTTTTATAAACTTGTAAATAGTAGTCGCATTTTTGGTAAGAATACAACATCAAATATATGAAGTCCAAGACTTGCTTCGTTCTCCACCTGTAAAATTTCAATAAAATAATCATTATAATTTTAATGTATACACATTCTAAAAAGTAAAAAGAGCCTTGTTTGAATTGCTGGAATTATCAAATTTTAGAATTAAACAATAATATACAGAATAACTGTACCCTGAAATTGTTATATAAGTTTAAAAAAAGGGCATAAATTTTTATTTAAAAAATATTTAAGCTTGTTAAGCTTTATTATTTATTATATAGTGTTTTCTAAGCTACATAACTGGAAAATAATTAATGGTCTCCCATATATAAAATTGATTTTTGGGTTGATCTTCGGTGAGATTCAAGAACTCGTGAAGCTCCGATGGGGTATATGCTTTTTTTTCAAGGAAAATATATAAAGTTAATTGGTAAAATCCGAATCAGGATTCTCTCTTCGTAATAGAATAATTTTAATAAAATATATATATATATATCAGTATCCTGCAGATGTATCAATTGCAAGGCCCGGCTTAGAATTGTAAAAAATAAATTCCGCCCAGATTATTTCTTAAAAATTAATTTTCAGCCTGGCCCAGATTTTATATTCAGGTCAGGCCAAGGTATTTTTTTTAAAAAACAATTTTTAAGGCCCGGTCCGGGTTTATTTTTTAAAAATATTTACGGCGCCCGAATAACTTGCCTATCTCCCTTATTCTAAAATGATAGATGGAGATTATTTTTCATTCTATACCAAAAAAAGTAGTAAAATAACTAGGTTTAGGTGTAAAAATTATAATTTAGCCTAAAAATAAATATAATTAATTGAATCTTTTGTAAAATATTTTCCCTTTATTTTATAAACTTGTTAAGTTTTTTTTCTAACGACGAAAAAATGGGTTTGAAATGGAAATATGAGAAGTGAATGATTGTGATATATTATTCTATAAATTTTATTATTCTATTTTATTTCATATATATAATAGTTGCGATTTAAAATATTCGGGCTGGCCTGGGTATTCTTTTTAAAAAAATTTTAGACCCGACCTGGCTTATTTTTAAAAAAAATCGGCCGGGCTTTGGGTTGGGTCTGGGTCTCTAATATATATAAACCTGTAGGAACATTTTAAAAAATGATGAACCACACATTTAAGGTATTTACATTTGAAATATTTTATATATGAAAGCTTTATCATTTTTATATAATTCTCATAACTCTCTTCAACTAAATTATTTGCTACTAATAAAGATAATTATTATAAATGAAAAATATTATAATGTCCTTCCATCTATGTTAATGTATAAATAAATATATTATAAAATTTAAATCAAATCATACTTTATGTTTTTAAGTCTCACTTATTTCATATATGAAACCTTCATCCTTTTTGTAATATTATTCCCAATATAGAATGTATTAAATATTCGGTTAGTTACTAGTTTAACATGTTTGAGCATGTTATTTTATTTCTTATTCAGAAAGTTTATGAAAAACAATCTGAGAGAAAGGAATTCATAATTACCATTATTTTTTCACTAATTCCTAATGTTAACTGCGATCAATTTAAAAATTACAATTGATATTATAAGAAGTTTTAATATCAATTTATATAAATATTCTTTCTGATGTGTCTGATATTATTTTAGATTGGGTTTGTTGCTTATTTTATTGTTGTTTCTTAATATAAAATTAAATTCGTAAAAATAAGACTTGTTATGTTTACTGTTGTAATTATTTAAAAATAATTTATATATGTTTTATATAATATGTCAATCATAGATTTTGTTAAAAATAATGATTATGATTCGATTAAATTTATTTTTCTAGTTATTTTAATTACTAATATCCTAAGTTTTTCATTATTTTTATAATTGATCTGAAATTGATTTGCGTTAGTTTTTGTAGTTTTTTTAGAATCTTCATAACGTTTAAATCTAACATCTCGGATTCAAGCGAGCATACCGAAATGGAGAAACTTTTCACAGGCAAGTTACAAATGGCGTCATTAAATATTAATAGAATGAATAACTAGTTAGCGGTTCTCTTAAGATTGTTGGAAGCGGCGAAAGTTGATATAATAGGTATTCAGGAAATTCATTGCCCAGGAAACAGCACCGCGAATTTTAATGATTATAAGATGTTCTGTTCGGGTACCACTTCAATAAGCGGTTACAAAAATACATTATAAAATTCGTACCCATATCAGAGAGGTGTGGTCTCCTCTATCTAAACACAAATTTTAGACTAAATTTTTATGTCCCACCAAATAGAAGAGAAAGGATAGGTTTCTTAGATATAATGATAAATATAATAATCGAACAGATACAATATAATAATTCTGGGTGATCTGAATATGAAACGAGGTAAAGAGAGTGAATATATAAGCAGTGGGGTCATCGGGCATGCTGCCATTCAACAACAGAATAGTGTAGATAGCAAAAAATTTCTCGATTACTGCAGAAATAAATATTCCAAGATTGAAAACACTTTTTTTTGCCATCGTGAAATGAATATGTACACCTTTGTGAGAGGTAGGCAAAATCTCAAATAGACTTTTTTATCTCTAATTTTCACCGCTGGTTTGATGATGTTAAAGCATCTACAAATATAAACCTATCAGATCATAGAATGATTATTGCTAATATCAATATAAAAAACATTTGGGGCTATCATAATAATAGAAGACTAAACTCGACAGTTCCCATCACAGATTCTTCAAAAATTAATTTTCCACGGAAATTAAATGAATTACAAACGCAGGGTAACAAAACACTTTTTGATCATGCACTAAACTTGAAAAAGGTTAATTTTATACACGTTACCAGAAATGGAAATATTGAGGAATTGTTGGAAACTCTTTTAAAAAGAGCTTGCTGAATCTTATAAGGGTCTATCAAATGTAAGTCTCTCTTCAAGGAAAGAATATGTCGGGTGAGACCTTGGAAAAAATAAATCAACTTAGAATAGCAAACGGCTCAAACAGGGACTTATGGAAGAATATCCAGAGGTTATTACGGAGTGATAGAAGATTTTACATAGCGAAAAAAGCTGCGGATATTGACAAAGATATGAAAGAAAAATAGAACCTATGATGCCTATAAAACTAAGATACTTCTGCAAATCTTGCTGTTTCAGGCAAATTCTCGATTGTTTTAGGAAATGGGAAAGTTATAATGAATCAGGATGAACAAATGGCATTATGGCTCGATTATTACATGTCGGTTTTTGATTCTCGAAAGGCGACTCCTCTGACAAACTTGAATACACACCCCACCCTATCCCCGTCAGGTTTTTCTTTAAGTGAAATTTCATATAGTCATAAAATTATGAAACAATAAAGCTCTGTGACTAGACAATATTAATGCAGAATATTTAAAAATATCCCCTATGACAATTTCCTCTTTCCTATTAGCCCTCTTTAATAAGATATGGGAATGTGGGAAGACTCCATAAGAATGGAACAGATCCCTTCTATGTAATTTCCCGAAAGTAAAAAACCCACGAAAGTTTACCGACTATTGCGCAGTAGCTCTTACATCCTGTGTCTCAAAAATTTTTATGGTCCTCATTAAAAAAAGAATTTTAACATCTACGCCGCATCTCTTCCCCAAAATACATTTGTGCATACCGGCCCAATAAAAATATTTTGGAACCAATTTTATCGTTGAAAATTATAATGCAGAAGTGTTGGAAATACAAGATCCCCTCGTATTGCACATTTATAGATTTTAGTAGAGCCTTTGATAATGTGGACCTGTGCTCTAAGGGAAGTACTATCAGATTGTGGTATTGAACCCAACATTATTTTTATCTTAAAAAATCATTATTCCAAGCTAAAGGCATATTTTAAGACCAATGATAAAATATCCCCGTATTTTAGAATTAAAAAAAGGAAAGAAACAAGGTTGTACATTATCACCACTTCTGATCAATATTATAATAAATAAAGTAATAAAAGAAGTAATTGGCGCAGCTGATCTGGTTGACATTGGACAAAGTGAGACGTTGCATTTTGTAAAAAGGATATATCATACGCTGATGACATTGTCGTAATATCAAAAAGCATTGAAGAAACCAAGAGATTGCTCTATCTTATTGGGACCTTGAGTCGTAGAGTTGAACTGATAAATTTTAACAAAACGTTTATTCTTCCTTCACCTAATACACCTCCACTCCATAATCTTATAGTGGGGGAAAATACAATAAAAATAGTCGACATTAGGGGTCACTCTAAATAATAAAGGAGAATGTAAAGAAGAAATTAAAATTAGAATACAAAATGCGAAAGGCGTTTTTATATATATATATATATATATGAAAATATGGAAATCGAGTGAAATATCGGTATTTACCAGATTGAGGTTATTTAACTCTACGATAATTCCTATTTTATCATATGAAGGTGATATTTGGGAAACAAATAAGAAAGAAATGAGACGACTCCAAACATTTATAAATAATTGCCTATGAACGATAAATGGTATTTTTTATACAAGAGTTATCTCAAACTCAAATCTTTGGAAGATGTCTAATCACACACCGATAAGCAATACTTTAAAAAAACGCCGGATTAAGTTCCTGGCCCACATAATAAGGAACTTTGATCATAATCTAGTATATGACGCCAGAGCATGGTTGTATACATATAAAGGGAAACAATATACGAAATACAAATCATTATGGTAATATAAAACCATAAAAGTAGTGTTGTTAAACGGCTCATTTTGAGCCCATTTTTTAAAACGGCTAACTCAATATTTTAGCCAGAAAAAATTTCAATAATTATGAAATGTCGAAATTACTTGACTTTATGGGAATCAATTTTTATTTGGAAGTATTCTTTTAAATAATTTCCTTACAACAAACCAGTACTAATATAGTAAAATTTTTAAAATAAAAAACATCCACCGCCTACCCTTAAAGTAATTAAATTTAAACGTAGTTCTTGGGTATAGGCTCCTTTTTTGGTCCCGATCTTTTTCTTAAAGCCTATAGATGTTTAAGCAACATTTACGTAATGTTGCGCGTATAAGTACGTGCGGCTTGCCCACAAACGTGTGGAGAGCTTTTCATATTTTTACTTTTACCCATTAATAAATTCCAATTAGATGGATTTGAGGAAAGTCTAGCGTAGCTCTGTTGATCTTTCAACGCCAGAGGGCAAAGTGCTATATATCACGTATCACGATTATGATTCGATAAACTTTTCTCCTTTTTTATTTTCTTAACTTTTTGATTTTTTTTTTAACTTGTAACTTTTTAATTCAAGAAAAATAAATTTATTTAGTTGTAATTGTGATATAAATTTCGAAATAAAAGAATTCAATTGAAAAGAATAATCTGAACTTAAATATTTACACCAACATGAGTTTGATGTTTAGAATTGTAAAGGTTATTATTCAATTTATCCTTAAAATAAAAATATAAATGAGGTGAGGAAAATAATTAAAATTTCTTAAAAGGAAATTATATAAAAATTTATTCAGTCAACATAGGCGTATCAATAGTTCTCTACCATAAACTATATTGGAGGCCTTTATCTGTAAACCTTTGACCATGTAATATTTTTATAAAAAAAAATGGCACTATTTTTATACAAATTTTGAATTTTAGTCGTTATTTTAAAAAATTATTAACTTTTACTTATTTTACTTTCAAAATATTGTTTATAGATATATTGTATATATTTTTTAAGGGGAGGAGGTGGGGGGATGAATGTGTAGGAGTAATTTTTTATTAGCTTAAAATGATATTTACTAGAACAGACAAATTTCCGATTTTTCCATCCCCTTGGTTACGCCTTACGATTAACATAATATATTATCAAAAAATTATTTAAAAATTGGTCATATAAATAAAATCAATTCAATATAGTATATTAACCAGCTTAAATTTTTTTTAAAAATCTAGAATTCTTATTCTTAATTATATGCCCAGGATAGTGGTAGTGCACTATCATGCACCCTCCTACGGGCGCCCATAAGAGGGTCATGATATAAAAACTGGTAACTATTTAAAAACTTAAAAATTTAACAATAAAAATAACCAGTAACGCCTGATGTGAGATTCTTTGGCGAGTTTATCTTTAATAAATTAATGATAGTAAAGTTATGATAAAGAAGGAAGAGTATAACTTATTCAATTCCTTTGTCAAAAAAAGTAATAATTAAATACATAATTCAATGTAATAATAAAAGTTTAAGAGATTTGAAACGTTACTTCATACGTTTAGGAGTATCTTCTAGCGTTGGAGTAATGCTAGACCAAGAGGGGTAAAAAATGTCAGGAGGAGTTATGATCTCTATTGCACCGATTTGCGCTTGTTTCCAAAAACTTTAATATTTTTATTAATAAATTTATAAATTATCGGTAAGTGGGTTAGATATTAAAATATTTTAATTATATTTTGTATAAATTGAAGGAATGTCTAGTTTAAAAAAATAAGCAAATCGATATAAAAATTCATCATATTAAAGCTATCGCTGTTAAATTCGGGCAAAAATAAAAATAAGGTATTTCTATTGATTTATAGATAAATGACATGAAATTTTGATTCAGATCCGAAAAGATAGCAGATGATGGAAAACGGGCGAAATACAAATATAGCGAAATTGTATTAAAATCTATGCCTTTATATAAATTTTTAACTAATTCAGGGGTAGATCAGCGATTAATGTTTCGACCAGAGACTTCTATCAGGAAGGGGAGGGATGTATGACGTCGTCATTGAACTTGTAGGGGGGTAGATAAAGAATATGTTATGTCATCTGAATAAAATTGGAGGGAGATAGTTTTGATTTGGTAGGAGGAAGGTAAATTTAAGAGGGAGATAGGTAAAATTTTCAAGGGGAAAAAATGGTCATTAGCTTTGGGTGTTTAAGTGATAATTTCCGATATAGTATTCTTTTAGGATTTCGAATAAAAATTTTTGACCTCTTTTTCAACCCATGCCTAAAGTGCTAAAGAGGTAGAGAAATATTATTCTAGATTGTTGTAATTTTATTTTTTTTTGTCTGTAGTATATTTTTTTTATATATATAATAATTATTTAGAGTTCATTGTATAATTAAGTTTTAATTTAAATTTGAATAATGAGAATCGGACGCTAGTTATAATGCAATTAATAATTTTTGGCATGATGCAATATTTAAACAGGCGATTGTTATTATGCAATTTATAATTTTTCTATAATAGACATTTTTTTGTAATATAATGATTATATTCAGTTTTTTTTTTAAATTTTAAAGGATTAAATAAAGAAACTTAGAATAGTATTATTTCCAAAATTAATTTTATTAGTTTAATATTTGTTTTTTTGGTTTATTTAATAAATTTAAATTTAGTAAAATTTGTGTAAATCCTCAGCCTCTAATACTACAACTATGAAAAGTGGTGTCGGAGTGAGGAAAATAAAAATTATACCAGGGACCTGAAGATTTCACCATAGACAAAAGAAAATTAAGGTTAAAAAACAATTTATTTATGATATGCTCACTTTGATGATTTTAATTTTAGAAATACTACTATATTAAGATAGAAAATAGAGAACTAGAAAAAATTAAGAGTATAATACGATCTGACATATAGATAAAACCGATAATTTGCTTTAATTGTAGTCAACAAGGACATATGTCGCGACAATGCGAGTTAACGTTGCATTTAAAGTGGGCGAAACGTGGACGTAATGGTCATGTATCTACGAATTGTATGACAATAGTTGAAATATTAAAAATGCGGACAGGGAGGGCATTCACAAGAGAAATGTAATAAATGAGAATAAGAATAATGTTATTAATAATAAAATTAATAGTATGTCTGAATTTTTTAATTATAATATGAATTTATGTGAAAATGAAACATAAAATTAATTCAAAATATGTAAATAAAGATATTTTTAAAGGTGATAATATTTTTGGAAGAAAAATTGAAATTGAAAATGTTTGTAAGATTGAGTTAGAAGAAATAATAAAGAGAAGTAAATGCCCGAAGGTTAAAATAAGAATAAGAGACATTGTAACATTATTTTTATTAGATACAGGAGCTGAGATCAGTTTAATGAGTGTAAAAGATTAATAAATGTTTGCCAGAAGAAAGGTTCATAGTAAGAAGAATAAGAGCTAAACAATTAGAAGGTGGTATTGTAAAGATTTTAGGTTTTTATGTAATAAATTGTTAGTATAAATAAGGAGACAACGTTATGGATTACAACAGTAAAGATAGAGCTTATCTTATGTTGAGGTGAAAGAGAGAATTATAAGACTGAGTTACCTATAGATAGTAAACAAAATGTAGTTCTCGATAAACTGGGTAATCGAACACCAGAAATTTTGATTAAATATAGAAGTAACATAGAAGAAAATAATGTATTAAGAGATATAAGGTCATTAGAGGTAACTCCAGTTGAAGTCAAACAACAAAGAATTGAGAATAAATTAGTCTTTGAGGAGATTGTTGAAAGGAGGTTTTGCAATGAAATAAATGTTGAAAGGAAGTTTTGAATAAATGATATATTAAACAGGTACAATTTAAAGAAGAATTAAGTTCTCCAAAAAATGTTAAAGTAGATATTAAATTATTGGAAAACTACCAGCCTAAATTTTGTGGCTAAAGAAGATTACCGTTTTCTTGGATAGAGTAAATAGATAAGTAAATAAATGGTTAAAAGAAGGGATAATAAGACCAATAGTTCATAGCGTCTGGGCGACACCGTTAGTCCCCACGAGAAAACCAGATAGCTTGAGATTATGCATAAATTATATGACATTTGTAAACCCATGGATAATAAAAGTGAATATCCTTTACCAAGAATATAACAACTATGGTCTAATCTAAAAGGAGAGACATTTTTTTCAAAGATAGATATTTCTAATACATACTTACAGATTAAGGAGAATGAAATACAAGTAAAATTTTAACAATTACAATACATAGAGGGATGTTTTCATTCTGCCGATTACCTTTTGGATGAAAGTATCTGCCACAATATTATAAGGAACGATGGCTGCGTTATTCCAAGGATTAAGTGAAATCTGTATTATTTAGAAGATGTTTTGATATTATGTAGAACAGAACAGGAGCATAATACGAGATTAATTAAAGTGTTAAAGGTAATTTTAGAAAATGGTTTAAGAGCTAATATAAAAAAAGTGTTTTTGGAGTAATGAAATTCCGCCGATTGCAAAGAATAGATAAGATTGTAAGGATGAGAGCACCGAATAATAAAAAGCAATTACAAGCGTTTTTATGAGCTGCTAATTATTATCATCGTTTCATACAGAATTTTGCTGAAATAACTGCACCGTTGTATAAGTTATTGAAGAAAAATAAAAAATTAGAGTGGGGAGTAATACATAATGAAAGTTTTGAAATATTAAAGATAAAGATGGTAGAAAAACCTATTCTGAATTGTTTTAATGAGACATTAGATATTATATTAGCAGCGGATGGATCTAATGAAGGTATAGGAGGAGCTTTGTTACAAATTGTTGATAATGTAGAGAAGCCGGTTTTATTTTTGTCCAGACAATTTAATAGTACTGAAAAAAATTACTCGACAATAGAAAATAAATCTTTAGCAGTCGGGTTTGGTTTGACTAAGTGTAGAGAGTATTTATTGGGTCGATTTTTATTATATATGGATCACAAGCCGTTGGTAGATTTGTCCAAAAAGACAAGATTTCACCGAGTATGCAAAAATAGTTGATATTAATTGATAATTTCGATTTTGAAATAAGATTCAGAGCGGGTAAACAAAATTATTTAGCAGATATATGATCGAGACTTTACTAAAGAAATGAAAATAAAAATATAGAGCCCATAATTTATAGTTTAGAGTATATTAATGAAGAAGATGAATTAAATAAATATTATAAGATTTTTGAAGGTAGATACAAGAGAAAGTAGATAACTTTTGAGCTAGTCGATAAGGTATCCAAGCAAGATGATGAATTAATGAGAATTAGCGCTTGTTTTAAAGGAAATATAGAATGGAAAAGTGAAGACAAAGCGTTTAAAAATATAAAGAGTGAATTAAATATAAGAGATAATTGTTTCATGAGAGGATATCGCTTAGTGATATCGGATATATTAAGAAAGGATATTTTAGCAGCGGCACAGCCGGATATCAAGGCAAGAATGAAGAATAAAGCACACGAGTATATTAGGTGGCCCAAAATGAATAGTGAGATAGAAGAAGTAGCTAAGAGTTGTGATACATGTAACTTGTGTGCTAATGTACCAGCAAGAAAAAAGAAGATAAATGGCCAGAGACGAACATTCCATAAAGAATACATATGTAGATTTTTTAGAATAGGAAAAGAAAAAATATTTTATCATGGTAGATGCTGGTTCAAAATGAACAGATTATTAACAGGTGTCAGGTTTGTCAACAAAAGTAGCTTTAGATAAGATAAAAGATTTTGTAGGTAAATATAGATTAATGAAGACGTTAGTATCAGATGGAGGTCCCAGCTTTTAAAGGCAGAGCATTTGGCAAATTTTGTGGTAGATGGAAGATTGAGCATTTATTTTCGCCACCACATTACCTACGAAGTAATGGGCAGGCCGAACGTAGCTATAGTTAAAAGTTGGTTAAAAAAGAAAAATAGTGGTTATCGTTGTTCATACAACAACACAAAGAAGACCAAAGGAAATTCTCCCAGAGATATTTATATTTAAGAAAACAGAACTAAACTGGATTTCCTGAAAGAAAAAGTAAAGCAAAAAGAGACTATATGTTGTGAAAAATTTTAAATTGGAAGTTTGGTTTAGATTGGTCAAGACATATTAAACAGTTAAGACCTAGATGTATAGGACAAGAATAACAACGTGTTTGAAAATTGATGATAGATATAATTGATTTGTTTTTTTATCAAGTTATATAGAATTATGAGAATCATAACTTGGTATGTTGGGAAAATTTATGATAGACATAATTGATTTTTTTTTGACAAGTTATGCCAGAATTATGAGAATTATAATTTGATGTCCTATAATTATTAGAATCATAATTTTTGCGATGATAAGGATGTTTGATAACAAGTTGTGTTAGAATTATGAGTGTCATAATATTTTTGTGTTTAACTACATATGTTGGGTAAGATTATAAAAGTTAGAAAATTAGAAATAGAGGAAAGAGAAAGAAAAAAAAATATATAGAATAATTCTTTTGTGGATGGCTTCATATTTTCGAGTATGCAACAAGATCATAAAAATAGAGATCCGTGAAATAGATGGATCGGCTGAGTCAGGAAATGGATGAATGCCGCCAGAGAAGAAGCCCAGCAGAGGTATGGAGAAATACAAGACCTGCCAATACGTGCTTTCTAGGACAAAAGAAAGGAGTAAAATTGGGTCAAGAGGATAAAAATAGCGTGCTGGTCGTGCGGTGGTCGTAAAGAGAAGGCCAGGTAAAAGGGGTTTGGGGGTGAAGCCCCCAAAAAATTCCCCTGTCCAATACCTTTTTTGGCAATGCTTTGTTGTCGGTACAAAAAAAAGAATTACAGTAAGGCGAATCCCTAGTAATGGGTCCGAGAAGAATAAAGATCAGTTTTGAGCAGAGGGGTGTTGTGATTGTGGTGATAATTGGATGCTATAATTATTATTTTTTGTCTATAGTATATTTTTATATATACATTTATTTTAAAATAGTTTTTTTTATATATAACTAAAATTTGAATAATTATTTAGAGTTTATTGTATAATTAAATTTTAATTTAAATAATGAGAATCAGACGATAGTTATGATGCAATTTATAATTTTTGGTATGATCAATGATTAATCAGGCGATTGTTATTATGTAATTTATAATTTTTATAATCAGACGATTATTATTATGCAATTATAATTTAAATTTTTGTATAAATAGACATTTTTTTTGTAATATAATGATTATATTCAGTTTTTTTTAAATTTTTTAAAGGATTAAATAAAGAAACTTAGAATAGTATTATTTCTAAAATTAATTTTATTAGTTTAATATTTGTTTTTTTGGTTTATTTAATAATAAATTTTAAATTTAGTAAAATTTGTGTTCACGATAACATTTTTATCCTTGAAAAAAAAGAAATAAAAATTATAATAATTAGAAGAGAATCTCATTTTTATGAAATTAGAATGGACTGTTATGGCATTTTGTATAAGTCAAACAAATTATCACTTAAATTTTCAAAAAATATAAAACTTCTGGCATTTCAAATATTTCCGCACATCTTATTTTGTAAATAAATTTTGGTGCGTGTAATTTCGAAAATTTAATTTTTATGTTCAGGCGTTCAAACAAGAAGTTATTTTTCCAAAATGACTTTAAAAAATATATCCAATACAAACTCTATATTTTAATGTATGAGTCTACGAACAACAAAATAAGATATAACCCTAAGTATATAAACCTTTCTGAATAAAATAATTTTGTTAAAATTTTGAATAATAATGCTTAAGGCCTCTTTGAGCGTGCCATAAATATAAATAATTGACTTTTTGGGAAGTCAAAATTATAAGGGCTAGCGATGACACACTACTGCAGGATATCTTCCAATTAAAGCATAAGGACAGGTTTGTTTGGAATTCGCTTAATAAATTAATAAGTTAGTGAAGGTTAACGGTCCGCTCCTATCGATCTTAGACCGGGACGATCTTTTTTAGGAATACAGTCCAAATTATTCTTTTAATTTTTTACAATCTGGACCCGGTCTATTAATATTTAAGTTTGCTTTACTGTTGCATTTTTATTATACAATAAGATAACCATCAAAGAAGTATTTTACTTATAGTGCCAATAAACAAAAATTATAGATAAAAACAAAAATATTTTCAAAATAACAAAAAATAAGAAGATCGGTCCTAGACTGTTTTATTAGAACCGCGGTCTGTATTGATCTTTTTAAATACCATGGTCCGGTCCGAGAGCATCGGTCTGTTCAGGATCAAAGATCCGACCGTGACCTTTACCAAATGTAATTTTTATAATAGAATTAATATTTCTCATTAATAATATAATAATTTTTACTAACGAAAAAATTAAATTAAAAAATAAAAACCAAATAATTTGGACTGTCTATTGTTTTTTGGTTTCCATAATATATATTTTATATATCAATATCTTACTCATTTTCGATCATTCGCGCTTCTTGGTTTATATATGATTCATTCTAAATAATTGTATAAACATAGAATGTTAAAATGACGGCATATTAATTTTATTTATTACAATGTTTGACGCTAATTTTAAGCATTATTTAAAATAACTAACCTGTGCGCCGATGAAACTAGCGGCGGCCGGCGCGAGTTTCAAAAATCTAATCGGTGGCAGACGACGCGCCGATTTTAGTCGCCGCCAACATAAGCGGCGTGAATCGGCGCAGCATTATAATTTTCTGTAACATTATATTTTTTTTAACTAATTAATATTTTAAAAAAATTAATTTAAATATACACTATACTACAGATATTCCGAAATATTTTTAGTTTATTGAAGAGAAAACTCATTATAAATTCAAAATCGAATGTGTAGTTTTATAATTATCATGAAAATAATTAATTTCATTAAAAAATTTTGGGACATAATAATGATCTCCTTGAATTCAACGTCGGTAGAGAAAACTTTTCACTAAATGTGCTAGTTACCGCAACACAAAGAATTTTTAGCTAGCTTGGAAAGATTAGGAAGTTCAATACTCTTCTCTCCCAAGAAATTTATAACATTCATATCTTATGAATGGTGCTTTCCGGGAAGAATATGATATACTTGTTCTAAATCACTTAAAATGGAATCATAATTTGTAATTGTTGAATGTTTAGTTGCTAATTTGTCAAATAATTTGAATTTAATATTTCCTTTTGCTATATTTACTGCCCTAATATCATCAAACTCTATACGTTTAAGATGTTTTTATAATAAATTTCGACGTATGTTTTTGTTCTATTATATACAATGACCCAATTATTTGAAATCTTGGGTCTAGAAGAAAAGTTAACACATAGAGATTAATTTTGAAATAAAATATAAATTAAATAAATGAACATACTTATAGATTATTACTTGCAAATCACAAATTGGAAAACGTATTTTTTTAAGCATATTTTCCTTATGGAAATGATTTCTCTGATATATCGTTATAATTTATCTAAATTTTTAATTTCACTTCCAAAGAGAGATACCAAGTTTAAGGTAGGCCTTTTTGTGCAGAGACAAATTCAACTGTTTCTTTAAATTTTGAAAGAAAAGTTAATAGTTCTTCTACTAGGTCTTACTCATAGTTTGAGATAGTATTTGATTTATCAATCAAAACGTTATTAATTATATTTTTATTTGCTCCAGTATGCTATCAAGCATAATTAATATACTATGCTGCCTGGTTGGGACATTTAATATTAAAGTTTCTATATGAGACATTATTGTCATTATCATCATTGGAATCGCCAATTTGAAACGAATATGTCATATCCAGCATATCTTATGTTAGATCTATTGTACTTAGACATTTTATTTAATCAGCCTCGAACTCAAATTCAATCTCCGCATCTCTTATTCATTTGATAAGGTATTCAACAAAAAAGATTAAATATCATCCAAAATAACCTTCTTGTGTAAACCATGACCCAAGCATAAGTGGTGTTCATATAAATTTAATCAAATACCCTTTCAAGCATTGCTCTCCATTTTAAAAAATAAACTATGCTAACTTTTGGAATTTTAAAACTTTTGATTTGATTGAATTTTAAAATGATATACATGGAGATCGATCAGAAAAATATTTTTAAAACCTATTAATTTTTTTGGAAGGGTAAGGCCATTCTTGCAACTCTCTACTCTAGATTGACTATTCAATAAAACTAATATTTATTTATTTCTTATCTATTCACTATTCGTCCAAATGGAAAACTTTAAGGAGGAAAGGATTTCAATAATAATATAGAGTCTATGAAAAGGAGCTACACCTAAAAATAAATTTAAAAAAATATATAAAACCCGGGCAGAAATAAATTTAGATTATAACAATCAAAACAATTGGAAAATCATATGATAGATGATTTAACATTCTTTCGCTCTTCATATTTTCATGTATATGACAAATATTTAAAAAATTTGAACGGGACCAAACCTAGAGCAGCTGATACAATTTTTTTCGGCCCAAGCCCGAGCTCCGGACTAGAGGTAAGCGCGGGCTAATTTTTTATTCACGTCCCGCCCGCTTACGGTGGCAATAAAAAATATTACCGCCGGTCACGCCCGAAAATTCACGATGTTTTTAAATTTTTCAAAACTTTAATGCTATAATTTTTTACACTTCTATTTATTTCTTTAATTCCATAATCCATAATAATAAAAAATAAATACATATTATAAATCCAAATTATTTTTTTTATTTCAATCGTGTACGCCTTTCCTCTAATAGACGATTGGCTACAGAAAATAACCTTTCACTAGAAGCCGAATTTTCCAGGGCTGACAAAATTTTACTCTCTAATTTTCTCAAAAAAGGAAATAAATTTTCCTGCTTCCAAAACTTCAAAATATTGCCATTGTTATTTGTTTTATGGGATGAATCTTTTAAATTCACACAGCTTTCATCGGTAGATGTTGATGCTTCATCAGAATCACTAAAAATATGTTTCATTTAGAATATATGGCTTTTTATGAAAGTAAGATGAATTAGGAAAGTTAAAAATGACAGTTGGCATTGACTCATGCATATCATCTAATTTTATATAATTTTACATTTTTAAGATTATTTTGTAAATATCTTCCTTTTCTTCGTCTATTAAAAACTTAAGGCTTTTGAAATTTGGATCTAGAATTAAGCCTACCTTAAGTGCTTGAGAATAAATTTTAAAGTTTAAGTAAAAAATCGCGACAAAACACCTAAACATAAAAAGAAAATAGAACTAGAAGCGTGACACCAGATGTTGTTTTTAAAATGCCTGAATATTTTTTGTTTTCTAAAAATTTTCTTTTTTAAAAAAGAACTAAATTAAATTAGAAAAATTAAAAAAAATTAAAATTTGCGCGATTCACGGGAAATTCATGTTCACGCCCGATCACGCCCGGGAAAAATTTTGGGAAGGCCCTTTACATCCAGTCACGCCTAATAATTTTAAATTTATTCACACTCACGCCGTGACCCTTCGAGACACGATGGGTCACGCGTAATTTCACGGCCCGCTACCATATCTACTCCAGACTACATTTTAATTCATTTTAAGGTCCGAGCCCGACACAAATTTTTAATTTTAAGCCCGGCCGAAATTTTAAATTAAAAATAAATTAAACGAATCTTTTTTAAGTTAAATGAAGCGTAATACATCATTAATTGCTTTGCCCTTATCACGGATAAATTTTAATCAAATTTATCTTGATAAAACAAAAGTAAATTCTTTTCTGTTATATTTTTTTTTATTTCAGCTAGGTCCGTATTGTTCGGCTAAGAATAATTTTTATGAAGAAAAAAGACATAAATTTGATCATTCTAAACTTAAAATAATTTGAGAAATTCCGAACCGGCCCAAAAAAAATTTTGCCTAAATTTCCTATCCCCATTTTTTTGGTTGGCTTTGAAGCCGATCTTTAGAGCCGTGCAGACCTCTAACACTTATAATTAAAGTTCTATATGGTTTAAAAATTTTTTATCATAAAATACTTTAGAATATCTTACCCCGGATAGCAATATGATAACTTTTAGATCATTTAATTGTTTTCTTGACAAGGCCACAAAAATAGATCGGAGCGTATCCTTTAGATAACTTCCAAATTGTCGAGGCGCACTAGGTATTCCTATAACGTATTCTGACGCGTAAATAAAAGGCGAAATTAAAAACTGGGAAATATAAAGCTTTTTAATAAATTTCGTTGTAATAATTGTCGCCGTCATTTTTTGCATTATATCAAAAAAAGGTGAAGCTATATTCATTTATTATCTTTAATGAATTAATTTAGAATGGAATAATAGATTTATGAGTCTTTGTAATATAACATTTCATTTTCTTTCAATCTTTCTTTAAATCTCTTGTATACATAAAGTATAAACAGCTTTGATAGATTTTATTTTAAATCACTTCAGGCAATTTTGAGATTGGTCTATTCAATATTTAATGGTAGTCTAATTTTTATTATTTTTGATAAAGTTAAGACTAAAAAAGTATAACCCTGGCATTTCATCAAATACTTTTTTAAAAGCAAAAGGCGGTAGTAAACTTGAATCAACTCATAAATAATGATTTATATTTAATTCATTAAAAATCAATGAGAAACCTGAAATAAATAAATTGTTCTATGTGGATTGATAAGAAAGAACGATGATTTATAATTTAAGTCTCGTCAAAAAAAATTGGCCTTAAGTATAATTTATTTATGAGTATATTAAATGATAACTATAACGTTTGTTTCCTGATACCTGCCTATAGTGGGAAAAGAAAATAAATTTGTTTATTATTTCCATTAAAAAATGCTTAAATTTTCTTCTATCTTCAAAATAAAGCAAAAATAAGTATGACAAATTAAGCGCCATTTTATATTTATTATAAATTTCTATAAAACATTCATTCCCTGAATAATTATGTACAGAGGATATTTTAAAACAATCAGATATAAAATTTTGCTAAAGTATCGCACTTGAATTGATAAAAATTATTTTTGGATTTATGTTAGTGTCATATTCGACTATTTTGTAATTTGTAGTGTAGCACAGTTTTATATTAACATTTCGATACGGTGGGGTCTATAGGACCTCAGTCACTCTATAATTGATATTACATAAAAAGTTATTATTATTGAAATGTAACGTTAGGAGTAATTCTCGAAATATAATGTTAGAAGTAATTCTTGAAATATAATTTTATTTTATACCTTCAAAAATGCCTTTTCTTTTCTTTTCGTATTCAAATGATATAATAAAAATACAAAAATAACAAAATAAACAATTCAATACATAACATTTATCCCTAATATTGGTTTCGTTCGTATTCTTTTAGGATATCGATCTTGACTTGTAGTTTCTATCTTTTGAGTAATACTTCCATCAGCTTCTTGATTTGTGTCATTTTCCTCCCTCTCATTTCAGATATTTTTTACTACGTCCTCTTTGTTTACTATCTCTTCCTCTCTTCTACTCTTCTGTTTGGTATAATCGTTTTACCCTCTATACTTACTTCATATCATAGTGATCCGAGTATGCTTTTAATAATGGCCTTTTCCCTTTTTTTCTTTATTATTGTAAATGCGCGACCACACTTTTTCATTTATCTCGAATTTTTGAGTGTAGTATTCTAACTTCTCATTTTTGTTCCCCCGTTCGTATATTTGGTCTAACAATCCTTTAGGTTTAATTTTTAGTAGTATTTCGGCGGGACTTTGTTCATTTTCTGTCCTAGAGGTATTTTGGTAATTGTAGAGAAAAATAGCTAGACTGGTATCTATACTCGTTCTTTTATTCATGCTCTGTTTAAAGGTTCGAACTAAACGTTCGGCTATGCCGTTAGTCTGAGGATGGTATGGACTATGGTGCACTAATTATATTCCGTTGTTTTTTTGCAAAAATCATTGAATTCTTTACTGTTGAATTGTGGCCCGTTATCAGAAACGATTATCTTAGGAAATCCGAATCTGGCAAAAATATTTTTTAATATTTTTATCATGTTTTCGGTTGTAGTACTAGTCATGAGAACTATAGCTGGTCAGCGACATTAACATCTATCACTACCAACCAATAATGATTTTGAAATGGTCCAGCATAATCAATATGTAAAGGAGACTGGGGTTAGTTGAACTGATTTTTACAAAAAAGTCTATTCTCCTGGGTTTTTTTTAGATAATATAAAAAGCAATATATGATTAGATACCTAAAACTTCTCTATAAAGGTGTCTTATAAAAAATTTCAAAAATATAATCATTTTTTGAAATTTTATTTTTTGTAAAAGTCGAAAATTTGCCCAACAAGCCCCAATAGCGGGGTGAGGCAAACCACTTCAAGGGGCTTCCCAAACCATTGGTTTTTATAGGTCATAATTGAAATGCATTTTTATTTATTAATAATGATACGTATAGAATAATTTTATTGTTTCATTGTTCAAAATACATAATACTTATAAAATTATTGCTAATTATATATAAAAATTGAAACTTATTTTCTGTTAATTTAATAAACAATTTGGACATATAAAATATTTATCAAATTTTGAACATGTATCATGTGCCCATCCGTGGCACATTCTGCATTGGTACCACTATTCGCCATTATGATGTTTTATATATTCAGCTTAAAACAAATACAAATATCTTTGTGAATAATTTTTTTTACTATTTTTTTCTTGGCAATATTTTCTTTTTCCATCAATTTCTTTTCTTTCTCGATTAATTTCTTTTTATATGGAGATGATGTGAATATCTCTGCTTTTCTTTTCACTCTCTTGACTATTTCCTTTTTTGGATTAGGCAATGGTATTGATAAATTGCTAGATGGACCAGGAATATTATCTAAATGAGCATAAAAGTTAGATGGAGTATCATTACATATATCTAAGGTTCTATTAATATTTAGAATATCTCTTAACACCAAAGATACCGAGCTTGAATCTAATACTGGGCTTATAGGTAGTTCAGATATAGAATTCCCATGAGGCAATATAATCTTCTTTCTTGAATATATCTGGATTCAGTGGATATATTGTACATACTTGGAGGAATTATATGGCCAATTGCATTTACTGCTAGAGCTAATGTTATTAAGGTACCCCTTTCTGCAGAAGTCATAGATCCTACCTGTTTTTGACCCTTTTGTGCAATTATCTTGGATGGGGTTTGAACTGTGGTAAGTCCAGTTTCATCCATGTTGTAAATTGCCATACATTCTAATTTATGTTCATCTAATATTCCTAAATATTAAATGTAAAACATTTACTTAACAAATCATTTAATAAAAAAGTATAGAACATTTTCTTCATTAAAGCCAGTTGCCCTAGCCATACTTGTAGCTTCAGGGGACCTTAAGGACAGAGTAGGATTTCTTAACATAAATCCTAAGTACCAGTCATGGCCAGCCATTGAATTTTCCTTCCAAAATTTAGGAAATATTTTCTTCATATTTATTGCCATTTGGTAGGCTAATATTTTTATCTGAAAAACAATATAAAATAATGAAGAATAAATTTATACCTTTTTAATGGAAAGGCCATAAAAAATTTGGCTAGCTTGGATCAGATATTTAGTTATATTTTCCTCTTCTTCTTCTGTGAATATCTTCTGTTAATTATTTTGTCCTACACTAGAAACCATTTAAATTTTTATTTGCATTGCAAAATCTCCATTATTAAATTTTGCTAAAATTATATTTTATTGTTTAAGAATTACATAAAATTAATACAATAATACTATACTTCATCATAATTTTAATCAATCTGAAATATAAGATCATTTTACAAATTACATTTAATAAAAATATTTACATAATTTCTATTATTAAATTTTGCCAAAAATTGATTTTATTGTTTAATAATTACATAAAATAAAAATAAGACAGATAATGTAGATAAATTTACCTGTAAGTTGGCTAGTGATCCTTGTTGATTTACAATTTTCATATACCTTAATAGCCTAATTACATTATAATATTAATTCATCAAATTTTAATATACTTCTAAATAGTTATCAATATTAAATGATAGACCCTTATTAATTTTTTTGGATTTGTATTTTCGCACCATATCGAATAATATAATAATTACTAAAAAAAATCATTCAAATAGATTGACATGAATGGTTTAGCAAGCCCCGTTAGTTCTAAATTTACTAATCTTGATTGAAATATTATATAGACATAATAGATATTCATAAAACTTTCCCAAATTATAGAAGAGTGTTTAAACTTTGCCATAAAATTTAATTTACATATAAATGATTAAATATTTTAATAAAAATTAAAATTCTGTAATGTAAAAATCTTTTAAAAATTTTATCAAAATTTTATTTCTTAAATAAAATTTTTAATAATTAATTATTTCAAAAGATTTTTTGTCAATAGATGTAAACTATTAAAAACTATATTAGGATAAAATTTTAAACTTCTGGTGTATTTAATTTTAAAATGAGATTAAATGTTTTGCTAAGCCCCGGGATTTTTATTAAAATATTTAATCATTTATATTTAAATTAAATTTTATGGTAAAGTTTAAACACTCTTCTATAATTTGGGAAAATTTTATGAATATCTACTATGTCTATATAATATTTCAATCATGATTAGTAAATTTAGAACTAGCGGGGCTTGCTAAACCATTCATGTCAATCTATTTGAATTATTTTTTTTATCGATATGGTGCGAAAATACAAATCCAAAAAAAATTAATAAGGCTCTATAATTTAATATTGATAATTAATTAGAAGTATATTAAAATTTCATGAATTAATATTATAATGTAATTAGGCTATTAAGGTATATGAAAATTGTAAATCAACAAGGATCACTAGCCAACTTACAGGTAAATTTATCTACATTATCTGTCTTATTTATAAGATATAATCACAAAAATTTTATGTAATTATTAATCAATAAAATCAATTTTTGGCAAAATTTAATAATAGAAATTATGTAAATATTTTTATTAAATGTAATTTGTAAAATGATCTTATATTTCAGATTGATTAAAATTATGATGAAGTATAGTATTATTGTATTAATTTTATGTAATTCTTAAACAATAAAATATAATTTTAGCAAAATTTAATAATAGAAATTATAGTATTTTTATTAAATGTAATTTGTAAAATGATCTTATATTTCAGATTGATTAAAATTATGATGAAGTATAGTATTATTGTATTAATTTTATGTAATTCTTAAACAATAAAATATCATTTTAGCAAAATTTAATAATAGAGATAATGGTATTGTAAATTTTATGTTCCAAAATTTTAAATTTATAATTAAATAATTATATATTTTATTTAACATTTTTATTTTAGGTATACCTAGATCAAACTTTATGAGATATTACAAGAGATATCAAGAAAGTGTCACACTTTCTAGTGTAGGACAAAATAATAAACAGAAGAAGAGGAAATATAACTAAATATCTGATCCAAGCTAGCCAAATTTTTTATGGCCTTTCAATTAAAAAGGTATAAATTTATTCTTCATTATTTTATATTGTTTTTCAGATAAAAATATTAGCCTACCAAATGGCAGTATGAAGAAAATATTTCCTAAATCTTGGAAGGAAAATTATGGCTGGCCATGACTGGTACTTAGGATTTGTGTTAAGAAATCCTACTCTCTCCTTAAAGTCCCCTGAAGCTACAAGTATGGCTAGGGCAACTGGATTTAATGAAGAAAATGTTCTATACTTTTTTATTAAATGATTTGTTAAGTAAATGTTTTATAAATTAGAATGTATGGCAATTTACAACATGGATGAAACTGGACTTACCACAGTTCAAACCCCATCCAAGATAATTGAACAAAAGGGGCAAAAAAGGTAGGATCTATGACTTCTGCAGAAAGGGGTACCTTAATAACATTAGCTCTAGCAGTAAATGCAATTGGCCATGAAATTCTACCAATGTTTCTTTTTCCCAGGAAAAAATATTATGATTATTCTGTTAGTGATGGTCCATCTGGCTCTATAGGGGTATCAAATGGTTCATGATGGATGCAGGAGGAGGATTTTATTATTTTTTTGAAACATTTTTCTAAACACACTCGGTGTACTCCAATGTCCAAAGTTTTATTAATCCTTGACAATCATATATCACATCATTCCTATTCAACTGTCAAATTTTGTATAGATACGGGAATATTTCTATTATCTTTGCCACCCCACTGCACCAATAAATTACAGCCGCCTCTCAAAAAATATTAAAATTATTTACAATTTATGATATTCCATCTGTTATTAAGGATATCCTGCCTTTAGCAGCATCACCTCTAAATATAGTTAATAAATCATGTGAAATATATCCACTGAATCCAGATATATTCAAGAAAGAAGATTATAATGCCTCAGTTTATGGGAATTCTATATCTGAACTACCTATAAGCCCAGTATTAGATTCAAGCTCGGTATCTTTGGTATTAAAAGATATTCTAAATATTAATAGAACCTTAGATATATGTAATGATACTCCATCTTACCTCTTATGCTCATTTAGATAATATTCCTGGTCCATCTAGCAATTTATCAATACCATTGCCTTATCCAAAAAAGGAAAGAGTCAAGAGAGTGAAAAGAAAAGCAGAGATATTCACATCATCTCCATATAAAAAGAAATTAATCGAGAAAGAAAAGAAATTGATGGAAAAAGAAAATATTGCCAAGAAAAAAATAGTAAAAAAAATTATTCACAAAGATATTTGTATTTGTTGTAAGCTTGAATATATAAAACATCATAATGGCGAAGAGTAGTACCAATGCAGAATGTGCCACGGATGGGCACATGATACATGTACAAAATTTGATAAATTTTTTATATGTCCAAATTGTTTATTAAATTAACAGAAAATAAGTTTCAATTTTTATATACAATTAGCAATAATTTTATAAGTATTATGTATTTTGAACAATGAAACAATAAAATTATTCTATACGTATCATTATTAATAAATAAAAATGCATTTCAATTTATTATGACCTATAAAAACCAATGGTTTGGGAAGCCCTTGAAGTGGTTTGCCTCACCCCGCTATTGGGGCTTGTTGGGCAAATTTTCGACTTTTACAAGAATAAAATTTAAAAAAAATGATTATATTTTTGAAATTTTTTATAAGACCCTTATAGAATATAGTTTTAGGTATCTAATAATATATTGCTTTTTATATTATCTAAAAAAACAGGAGCTATAGACTTTTTTGTAAAAATCGGTTCAACTAACCCCAGTCTCCCCTACTACTTATTTCTTGCTTTAATTTTTATATGCGTCTTTGCATTCATTAGTCCATCTCCAAACTACTGCTATTTCTAATAATTTGTATAATGGGGTCTTCAAGATTTGAAATAAATTTTCAATAGTATGTTGCTGGCCCTAGAAATGATTGTAATTGTTTCAAGTTTGTTGGTTCTGGTGCTTTTTTTACTGCCTCAGTATTTTTTTCTGTAGTTGTAATTCCGTTTTTTGAAATATTGTGTCTTAAGTACTCGACATTTTGTTTGAAAAATTTACATATTTCTATCTATAGCTTGATTCTATTTTTGTCTAAACATTTTAATACCTTTTTTAAATTTGTTTCGTGTTTCTCTCTATTTTTACCGGTTATTATAATATAATCTAACAAGCTACTCCTTCAAAACCTTTTAATAAATTCTCGATGGCTCGTTGAAATAATGCAGAAGAAAACGATATACCAAAAGGTATTTTGCTCTTCCCAACTTTAATTTGAAAATAGGCATCTCATAGATCCAATATTGAAAATTCATCTCCTTTTCCCTAACTGGCTAATAAATCTTGAATTCTTAGTATTGGGTATTATTCAATATTAATATTTTGATTTATAATTCTTTTAAAATCCCCGCGTTATGTTTTATCTTTCATTTAAACAATTACCATGGGTGATGCATAAAGTGAATGATTAATTTTTTCTATTACTCCTATTTTTAGCAATCTTCTTCTTCTACTTTATCCTTTAAGGCATATGGTACTGGACGTTTACAGAAAATTGTTTCTCGTTTTTCATATATATTTGTGCCTTAAAATCTTTCAAGCAGCCAAATTCTTTGGTAAATAATTGAGGAAATTCATTTTGTATATTAATGTTATTTATTTGTATGGGGTCCTTTCAGGTATTTCAGATATTTTAGGAAATTTAGTCATCCAGTTTCTTCCAATTAGATTTTTTGTATATCCTTTTGTAATTATGAGTGGTAGTTCTAATGTTCGTCCTTTATATTGTACTTTTACTACAGTCTGACCTAATAGTATATTGGTTCCTGTATAGCTTTTAAATTTTAGCATGCAATTTGTTAATCCAGGAAGATTAAGTTTATTTTTCCAATCTTTTTCGTTTATTATGCTTACCCAAGCTCCAGTATCTAATTCCTTTCTGATATCGCTGTTGTTTATTTGATATCTACCCAAAATTCTGGATTATATTCATTTGTTGTATTATTAATAAAATATTTCTTTTCTACAAAGCAATGTGCCCAATTTTGTTGCATTTATAACAAGAGGCATTCGTGAAAAGACAATTTTCTTCCATGGTTTCCGCTGCAGGAGTGGCAGGGATTTGGTCACTTGTAGCTTGTATTAAAATTATTATATGATTTTAATTGTTTATTATTATCATTATTAACTTTTTTAATTATATTTATATTATTATTATGTTCCTCTACTAATTGATCGATTTTAGTTTCATCATTTTCTATTTTTTATAGCTGTTTCTACTGCAGTAGCTATTTGAACAGCCTTATTTATGTCCATATCATTCTCGGATAATAATCTTTGTAAAATTTTAGGATTTTTTATTCCAAATATAAATTTATCTTATAATGCAATATTTAAATATTCCCCAAATTAACAAGTTGTTGCAAATTTTCGAAGATTTTGTATATAGTCTATTAATTTTTCCTCCTTTTTTGGTTATATTGATAAAAATTATATCTCTCTACAATTATATTAGGTTTGGGATGAAAAGATTTGATGAAAATATTATGTATTTCTAATACCTCTGTTATCCGGACTATCAGGTGCACATAAATTTACCTATTTTGTAAGTATCACATCTTATTGTTGTTAATAACAGTGATTTTTTTTGTGATGATATTAAACTTGGTTGTGTTTTTTTAAATTCTTTAAATAAGTTGTACCAATCTTTGAAACACCGGTTTGAAGTTAGACTTTTTATCGACTGCCATTCTTGAAATGATGTTAAGAGTAATTCTCGAAATATAATGTTAGAAGTAATTCTTGAAATATAAATTTATTTTATTCCTTCAAAGATGCCTTTTCTTTTTGTATTCAAATTCATATAATGACATAATAATGAAAATAAACATTTTACAAAAAATACAAAAATAACAAAATAAACAATCATGATATATAATCTTCAGTAGCGTCATTAAATATATCTTGGAATATATATTTCAAATTTCATTATATTTTGGTTGAGTAGTTTTTAAGATATAAGCATTTCGTGATTGATTGGGGTCTATGAAACCCCACTAGAGTAAATTTGTAAGTTTTCTTTAAACCTTAGTTATGATAGTAAAAAAAAAAATCTTCATTTTATTTTGATTAATTTATAATAATTTCATGAAATGTCATGGTTTTAATATTCAATAACTTTTCTGTACCTATTAGAAAATTTTGGCACGAGTTATAATTATCCTCAGCTTTTTTATCTATGCATAGTAAATAAAATAAATAATTATTTTATAAGGTTTAAGGTTAGTTCTATCTTATATCAAAATATAAAAACAAAATAATGAATAAATGAGATATATTCATATGAAATTGGAATCTATTAGACCTCATTAAAGCATTTGCGCCATTTTTTTCATCGGAGTAATGAAGGGTTAAAAAATGTGTATCAAGAAAAGCTAGAATTCAAGGAATTATTAATAATGAAAAAAATCTTTTTTTAAATTAAGCAAATCTATTCGAAGCCTCGAATTCCTTTAGGCAAATACTATTTAAACCCTTTCGGTGGTATCTTTGAAAACTCAATGATGGGCACAGCCAATCCCCCTTTGAAACGATCATATAATCCATACAATATAACTACATATTAATCGGTGTCGGTTATACATGAGGATGAAGAAAGGTTACTATATCTCCCGATTTGTGGCCCGTGATTCGGTTAATTCTTGTTTTTGAAATTAAAAAAAATGGCTCTTTATCTCACATACTATGTTTTTACAATTTTTAATTATTTATGTTAAAAAAAATTTATAAATATTTAGAAGAAAATTTTTTGGCCATCTAATCACAATCATTAATTTCAAATGTTAAAAAAAGTTAATGATATAAAGAAAATTATTGCTCGGGGCAAATACCTAACTATGGGAAATTAAAATTATTAAATTTGAAAAATTACAAAATTTTAGATAAGTAAACTTAAATATTTATTTAATTTCAGTTGATAATTCTGATACAATTTGGAGTCAGATTATATGGAATATTGTTTTGATTTGACAAATAATCAAAATCTCCTTATAACCTTAAATAAAAAAGATAATATTGACCTTAAGTATCTAAATATTAGAGGAATTATAAAATATGATATCTAAAAAAATAAACTGACGAAGCCCCAGAAAAAGAAAACTGAAGGTGAGCGAAAAAGAAGGTGTTTCATAAACTATAAAACTGACCCTTTCGTATGAAAAGTATCTTGCAATCTTGAGTTGAAGGCAGACCATTCTACCGCAGGAGGTGGGGGGAAGGGTGGTATAAAGCAAGATTGTCATTAAAACAAAATAGGGGAGAAGTAGAGGGAAAGAAGGGGATATGGTTTTGCGAATTGTTTTTTGAATTTCTTTTGAAAAGAAATAAAAATCATTTCTAATTTTGATTATAAAAATATCCTTTTTTGCTGAAATATATAGGAGGTAGGAAGATGGTCAAATATTTTAGAGGGACAATATAGTCATCAGCTGGGGGGGGGGGTGATTGATGGAGAAGTTAGTAAATAATACTTATAAAATTATCGGATTAAACTAAATATTAGTGTTTTAAACGGCTCGATTTGAGCAGATTTGTAAAACGGCCAACTCAATATTTTATCCAAAAAATAATATTAAAAGCCTGAAGATTTACCTAATACATTTTAAAAGTAAACGGTAAGGTAAAATAAAAGAAATTAATCCAACTAAATCTTTATTTAAAAAAAATATTTAAAATCTTTTTAATTTGCTATTTATGGGAATTTTTTGTTCCATTCACCCTAGCTATTGCATTAAAACCCCCCCCCCCCATAGAAGGTCATGCTCGATTCAAAACAAATCCGCCTAGTTAGAAATTTTAGGTTCAAACTTAAATGTGTAAAATATATCACATCAAAATGTTAATGTTAATAAAACTTTTATGAGGCATCGAAGGTGATTGTCTGATAAATGTGCGAGGGTTAAGCATACCATAATCTGAAGCAGGTATAGATTTTAAATGAGGCAAAAATAAGAACAGAGAAATGTGACATATCTGGCAAGACGACCCTGTATCGGAATCAAAAGGGCTATAAGTGCAAAATTTAAAGATTATAAATATAATTTTTTTAAAACAGTCAATATAATTAGAACTTTTTCATAGGTATGGCCGAATTTTAATTAATGTTTCAAAATATGAATTTAAATTTACCCATGATTAGTGTTTGAGATAGACGTAATGAAAGAGGTCAATTGAATTAGCGCGCTTTTGGCCAAAGAGTCAGAGGTAATTTGGACGGACAAAGAGGTTGGTAAAGAAGTGGCATCTTCCTTCTCATCATCCTTGATATCTTTATTAAAGTCGAAAGAACCTATTTTTAAGTTCGGTTTTGTTGCTAGTGTTCGAGCTTTATTATCTCTATTGTTATCATTATTTAGTTTAATATCGCTAATTTCCCAGTTAGATATTTCAGCTTTAAGGGTCTTTAACCGTCCGGAAATATCGTGGATCTTCATAAAATTAGGCGGGTAAAATTGGTTTATATTATTTCCTAAAGGTCAAAATAAATAATTGTTTAAAAAAGACTTTTCATGAACCATAAATTAAATATTTTTTATTAATTTAAAGAACAGATAATTATAGATGCGTACCGCAACTAGAATTATATTTGCCCATAAACATACTGGTTTAAATAGGGGCTGTCAAAATTAGACTATTTTAGGGGTCGCCAAATTTCAATTTTTTAATTTCGATTTTTTTTCTCTAAAATTTCTCCTTTTTGGTAATTTCAATTCGGATCCTTATCTTTAAGTATAATATAACGATATAAAATTAAAAATACTTTATTATAAGAATTAGGATATATATAAAACAAATCATTTCTAAAAGAAATTCTAAGAGTGGTTAGAAGAGGGGATTTAAAAAAGGAATTAAATAAAAATTGGGTCATCATGAGGAGTGGATCTAGGTCTTAAGTAAATTAAGGTTTTTAAAGTTCCGTAACAATCAGGGTCGCAAAAAGTCTTAGATGGGTGTACCCGTAAATGTCATTTCTTTTATTTTTAAACGAGTTATATTATATCACTCAAACAATCTGGTTACGATATTGGTTAATTCCATACCAAATCGATCACTTTTTGGCCCGACCTTTTAATTTTTATAAAATTTTGCACACTGAGAGAAAATCATTAGAAAGCGCCGAATCCAAAATTTTAACCTCCTAGTACCAATAATTCCTATACCAATGGTCAAAAGTGTCAAAAATGACCTTTTTTCAAAAAATACGATTTTTAAAAATTGAGATAAGTTAAAATATAATGATGCTAAAAATAAAAATTATATTCATTTAGTAACTATATTAAAGGCCTTTTAGTGAATCAAGGATTTTTTAAAATAATTATGTTATTTACGTTAAATTTTGAAACTGAAAGCTCTAGATATCTCGCTTTCCGAATTTTAAATTTAATTTTTTATCATTCACTTTCACTTAAGTTATATCAATTTGCAAAAAAAATTTAAATTTAAAACAACCATGGGTTTATTAGATATTGCGATTTTAAAAAAAAATTTCAAAAATAGATGGCGCTCCTATATAAAATAACATATTGTTTAAATTATTATTTTTTTCAAATTTTTTCCTTTTAAACATAAATAATAAGATTTTCCAACATTAAAATTATAAAATAATATGATTTAAGTAACTTTGATAGGCTTACTTATTATTATTACTATTGATAACTTGTAAAAATTAATTATTTTTAATAAATGATTAACTAAAAAAATAGTTATGATTCGATATCTCCTGCAGGAAATTAATTGTTGAAAGACAAATGCTAGTTTGATGCACCTGCCCGCATTAATTAATTTTTATTTTATAAATATTTTGATATTAATTATATTTCTTTCATAAAATTATTCAGCATGTTAAATATAAATGTTCAAATCCTTATAAAGAATCTAAGCACCTTAATTATAAAATGAATTGCCAAAAGTTATGACGTGAATGACTCAAAATTCCAAATATTGAGGCAGAAAATACTCTATTTCTGATCAATGTCGTAAGCGTTTATCATAAATAGAAAATATAAATTCCGACAGCGAATACGAAATAAATAATATCCCCATAGCATCCACATCAATTGATATAATCAATGTTACTTTAAACGAAATTGGAATATCTCCTAAAAACTACTGAAAAATGATCCAAAAATACATAGTGAAAATATCAAAAGCTATTTCAAATATAATAATTAACAATTAGGAATATGTTAGTTACCAAGGAAAGCTTACAAAGACCTAGATCAAATAAACATACCTGTACAATTTTATAAACACGCTGAAGAGCTAATAAAAGGTATAAATTTTTCTTATGCCACCATATCAGAGTATGAGGCAGAAGAGATAAGGCTAATTTAGCAAACCTACAAAAAAATTCATGCAGTGTTTGCAATAGGTTTAACAGCTCAATATTAAAAAATGTTCCAATTCGCAGAGTGGAGAATATAGTAAATCCATGTGAGGATCTGTTAATATATGAAATTAGAGGATATATGACTGTATGTAAGGAAACGATTGGTGGTTAAGATTTTTGCAAAAAGTGGCTGTATGAAAATAAATTTTCTCCATACAAAATGACAATCAAATTTATTTGTTTACCCTGCCACATCAGATCTGCTTTTCATATCAAAAAAATAAATAATAATTTAATGGTGAGCCAATCAAAGACGATTGGGCGTACTTATCATTTACTGCGAAAAGAAATTATAAAGGCGTCAAATAAACTTAATTTGATGAAAACCCGAAAATTAGTAATATAATTTGTAAATTTAATTTTCCTATTGTCGTAGTTGTTCAATGCAATACTGCGAATAATATTTTTTTAAGGAATGTCAATCAATATATATTTTGTTTTTAATTTTTATTTTTTATGAAATGATTATTATGTGAATTCTGATTTAAAATGAAGAAATAAAATTATATGATTTAGTGAAAGTGAATTATTTTTTATGTTTGTGAAAGTGTTGCGCGTGACCTGAGATGTCGTATTCTGGTGGATAATGATTTACCTAAATAAACAAGTAAATAATATTTTTACATACATATTAATTTAATTTTTTTTAAATTAAAATAAATGGTAAATTATAACGCAATGTACTGGTTGAAGCCAGGATTTTATATTTAGAATAAGGATTTTTGTAGGATGATTATATAGGAATTATTAATAGATAAAATTGATAAACAATTTTTAAACCTTATTTAAAAGGGGAAATGGAACATTTTTTATTATTACTTTTTAACTTAAAAGGAATAATTTTGGTTGAAGTTTGGAAATGCTAATATTTTTTAACGGTTATTGAGGTAACATAAAGAAATTAAGAGTGTTGTGGTATATATTTAAATTAAATAAAAAGACAATTATTATTATTGTAAATTAAATTTTAACCTTTAAATAAGGTTGCAAGCAAGTGAAATTTAATATCAAAAAATGAACTAAAAATAAAATAAAAAAATTTAAATTTAAAGGGCAAGTTGGATTCATAAAATATATATCAATTTGGAAATTTAAAAGGTTGTGAACTAAGGTTTTTATGTTAATTTTGTAAATGAACATAATTTTTTGGATTAAATTTTCATTTGTAAAGAGTTTTGGTCTTAAAATTGGGGATTGGAGATATAATTGATTATTTATTTACGATATTATTTGTAATAATATATGTGCTATTTAATATATAAAATTCTGATAAAGAAATGTACTGAGGTAGTGACCAAGGTATATCGTAATTTGAAAAAAGACACTGTGGTGTCGGATAATCTGTGCGATATTCCGAAATGTGTGGAGAGATAAGTGGTGATCCTCCAAGAATTAAAAGAAGTAATCAAATGTATATATCGCGATATATATGAAGAGATTAATATAAGAATCAAATATGTTGCAAAATGGTCCAAATGAAATAATTAAAAGGGACAAAAAATTTAGTGAAAATTTTTATAAATATTGGCTTAATGGCGTTATTGAAAATGAAAATATGTGTGTAAAACAATTTGATATAACTCAATGGGATGCTATTTTCAATACTACTATAAGTTTGAACTTATGGGTAGTAGAAAAATTTGTGGAAACTATGAGGTGGGATTGGATTACAAAAATCTGACTTCGTAATAATTATTGGGATTTTTTATCATTGATAGCGAATTGGCTAAAGATAATGATGAAATAAAAATAATTGCGGATAGCATTCGAAATAAACTTCAAGAAAGAAAAATGTCTAATTTATTGAACGAAGGAAACAAGCCTGTCGTTAATAATAATTTTCTTGAATATCTCGAAAAGTGAAAATATATAATATTAAAAATAACAACATATGTTAATTAAAGAGATAGGGAGCCAGTTTTTTCTAAAAAAAACAAATGGAAATATTATTTTGTTGTTAGATTCCATGTTTATTTTTATATTATGTATAATTATAAAACCCCTCTTTCATGACTTTATATTTTTTTTATGGCCTATACTTATTTTTTTTATAATTGTAACTTTTAAAGAGAAAATGAAATATGTTGAAGCACATGGCAGTGTTTTATCAATGTTGATAATGCTGTGGTTGGAATTTGTTTATTTTTATCACTTGAACACAATTTTTTTTGTTCCCCTAATTTGTATTACTTTGTTATTATGTAAATTTTCATGATTGATTTTTTTTATTTAATAAAACGGGGACCCGGAGTGAACCGTTAAACCATTATAAACCGTTATAAATATCTGAACCGTAACCGAATCGATATAATTATTTTTTGAAGGAATAAAAAGAACCTTTATAAAAAACGATTAAACAGGTTTAAACCGGTTCAATTTTTATATTTTAGAAATGGAAATAATTTGAATCCAGAATTATAAAAACTTGATCTTATAGTACTGGCGGTTCCCGCGACAAAAGTTTCTGTAGAAAGGGCTTTTTCGGGGCTAAAATTTGTGTTATCGTCACAACGAACAAAATGAAATCCATTTATATTAGAAAATATATTACTTATACGTTCATATAATATATTTAAAAATGAGTTATTTTGAATCTTATATATTTTTTTTATATATAATTCATAGATGCTTATAATAAAAATAAATTAGAAGATGGTGTTGCTTAAGTAAAAAAAAAAATTCAAACCGTAATGAACCTTTATAATTAGCTGAACCGAACCTTTATAAATTTCTTCTTAAGACCCGTAAACAAAACGTAACCATTATAATTTTTTACATATTGAACCGTAACCAAACTGAATCGTTATAAATAACGGTTCGGGTCCCTGATAAAACACTCATAAAATTTACACGAATTTCTTAATCAAAGTGAGGGATTATAAATATTACATTATTATGTTTTATAAAAAAAAATTATATTATGTAATGTAACTGGAATTTAAATAAAAACTTATCGTGTAAGTATTAAGATATTGACCCTTAGTAAGTTAAATACTTACCTATTGATGAGTCAATCACATTCATTTATTTTTGTTTCTTTTTCTTTAAATTTAGATTATACGGGTACATTTATTATGAAA